GCACAGCTGTAATAGGACAGCAGTTACCTGAACTGGTCATGGAAGTGACAAAGCTGGGATGTCTTGAAAGGGCATCAGCTACATGATTAAACTTGCCCTGGCGATATTGAATTTCAAAATCAAGCCCCAGCAGCTTCACCAGACCCTTCTTCTGAATCTGAGTGTGGATTTTCTGTCCCAGGAGATGTTTCAAAATCTCATGATCTGTTACTATCTTAAATTGCCTGCCCTCCAAATAATGGCGCCACTTAGTCACTGCCAAAATAACAGCAAGGTACTCTTTCTCATATGTAGAGAGTCCCTGCTTCCTAGGCCCCAATGCCTGGCTGTGATAAGCCAAATGTCTTCCTTCCTGTGAGAGGACAGCACCAATTCCCATCTCACTGGCATCTGTCTCCAAAACAAACTGCTTGGTGAAATCAGGCAAGGCTAAGACATGAGCAGTCACCATGGCCTGTTTGAGGGTCATGAAAGCTGTCTGAGCTGATTCAGACCAAGCAAAGCTATCCTTCTTCAACAAATCTGTAAGAGACTTCCCAATCACACCATAGTTCTTGACAAATTTCCTGTAGTACCCTGTGAGACCAAGAAAACCACGCAACTCCTTCACATTTCTTGGCACTGGCCACTTGACCATGGCAGCTATCTTGGCTGGATCTGTGGTAACCCCTTCCTGGTTGATTATGTAGCCTAAGTAGTCAATCTGAGTCTGACCAAAAGCACACTTTGAGGGTTTGGCATAGAGAGTATTCTCCCTTAACACAGTCAGAGCTGTTGCCAAGTGCTGTTTATGGCTCTCCTGATCAGGGCTATATATTAAAATGTCATAAAAAACACCAGAATAAACTTCTTGAGGTAGGGGCTGAATATCTGGTTCATCAATGCTTGGAAAGTGGCAGGAGCATTGGTGAGGCCAAATGGCATCACAGTGAACTCATAGAGGCCCTGGTGAGTTCTGAAAGCAGTCTTGTGCTGATCTAAGGGATTCATCCTGATCTGGTGATAACCAGAAAGCAGGTCAAGCTTTGTAAAAAACTTAGATCCCCTAAGTTCATCCAACAAATCATCAATGACTGGTATAGGAAACTTATCCTTTATAGTAAGATCATTCAACTTCCTGTAATCAACACAGAATCTCCAGGAACCATCTTTTTTAAGCACCAACAACACAGGTGAGGCATAAGGGCTTCTGCTAGGTTGAATATACTGAGCAGCTAACATTTCCTTCACCAATCTATCCATTTCATTCTTTTGAGGAATTGAGTACTTGTAGGGTCTGAGGTTAACAGGTTGGGAGTTTGGTTGCAGTGGTATGGTGTGGTCACAGTCCCTTGATGGTGGTAGGGACTGGGGTTTACCAAAAACATCACTGAACTCCTTTAGTACTGAATCCAAGAATGCAGGAGCTGGATTCTTGTCACTGCTTTTACCAGACTCCCCATCCAGTTGGTTAAGCACTTATAGGCTGCAAAGTTGACCCACAAAAGCAATCTCTGAACGGTTCCACAGCTTCTGCAGGCTCTTGCCAGATATCAACTTGCACTGAGCAATATCCTGAATACCCTGCAACACCACTTCCTGACCTTCCCAATCAAAATAGAGCTTCAAATCCACAAAATCAAACTTAACCGGGCTGATGGTCCTGAGCCAGTCCAACCCCAAAACTGCATCATTAGATCCTAAGCTAAGGATTCTCATGTCATACTGGAATACCCTACCTTGCATTTCCCAACAAAATCCTTTGCAAACCCACTGACTGAGTAGCACCGTGCCATCTGCAAGCTTCACCCGCAAGGGATGACTGGCAGGCACTAGTTGACAATGGAGCTCCTTGGCCTTTCTTTCACTGAGAAATGTGTGAGTACTGCCAGTGTCCAGCAGAATGTAAATCTTCTCCTTCTTCACCTTGCCTTGAACGATGAAAGAGCTAGCTAGGCCACCACTATTGAGGGCCTGCATTGAGACTTCTTCTAACTCAGTCGGCTCCATCTCAGCCCCCGGATCCAACACTTCTTCCTCATATACTTCATTACTGTCATCAGCAATGTCTTCTTCACTACCAGCCTGAAGCACATTGAGCTGTTTCTTAACTCCACACACATGCCAAAAGAAGTATCGATCCCCACACTTGTAACATACCCCCTAGCTCCATTGTTTTTCTGTGGAACCACAGGAGACTTTACCACCCCTGCTGTTCTGGTAGGAGGAGATCCTTCCCAACGATGAGGAGTAGCAGAAGAGCTGCTAGGAATGACAGTGGACCGGCCAGAATTCCCCTGACCCCCTCGCCATTTCTTCTGGTGAGCCAAATTGGATTCTTCCTGCAATTGCGCGAGTTGGAATGCATCTGCCAATGACTGAGGCTTCCACATATGCATCACGGGCCTCAATTCTTCATCGAGACCACTAATGAAACTGCTAATGAAATAGATCTCGTCCAAGGCTGGATTAAAACGCGCCATTAACGAACGTAATTCCTCGAATTTCTCCTGATATTCCGCCAACGAACCCCGCTGCCTGAGTTTATTGAACTCTGCTACCACACCGCCATAGGAACGATTACCAAAACGCTGGCACAGAGCAGCCACAAATTCTTCCCAAATCAGCTCATGGCGCCCAATCTTCCAGCCTTCGAACCAAAGGTCTGCTCGCCGCTGGAAGTAGATGACCGCGAGATTAACCTTCTGGTCCGGAGGAATGGAGTAGATCTCGAAAAGTTTCTCACACTTCCGCGTCCATTCACGCGGATCCTCGCCATTGAAAGACGGAAAATCGAGACGAGGAAGTTGATGAATGTGACCCGGGGCTGGAGCCTGAAATTGCTCCCGCTCAACTGCACGAGGAAACGGAGCTGGAGCCCTGGGAAACTGCGCCATGGCAGGATCAACTCCCCGAAAACCTTGAGGCGGTAACGGCAGAATGCCTCGGCCCCCATTCCGGTCAACCAGCGGCGCCGCCGCACCAGCAATGGGACCCGGTGGCCTTGGATTCACGACTAGGTGGAGCATCTCACGGATCTCCGTCGTGAAATGAGCAAAACGATCGTCCAAGCGGTCTTCAAGTTCGGTGAAACGAGTGGCCGTACCTGCTTCCATGGAGTCGAGACGAGCTGTGAGATTGACGAATTGCTGCGAATGGCCATCGGCACGAGTCACCAATTCTTGAAATCGAGTCGCCTGAGAAGTAATTTTGGCGTCCAAATCGAGCTGAGCTTGTGATGTCGAAGCCACGAGTCCAGCCAGACGATCATCAATCGATCCACGAGTCGCCGTCATGATGAAAGGAGCCAAGTCGAGGCTCTGATACCACCTTGTCACACCCTGGGAGCTGAGAGGACTTGGCAATGGAGGAATTCTCGGTAGGAAGGAAGCAGAAGAGAAGAGAACAGAGAGGAGAGAGAGAGAAGAGAGAGAAGGGAAAGTGAGTTTGTTATTGATCAGCTGAAAAAGTAGTTACAACGGTCCTGGCGCCTTTTCTTTATACTACTAATACAAAATTACCACTCCACTCCCTCAACTTCTAACTCTATACAGTTTAGTCCGCGCGTTACATTGTTGGGGTCGGGTCTTCGGATTGGAGCGGTGGATCTGCTGCAGTCCTTGAGTCCCATAATCTATTGCGGGGATAGGAATGAGATTCTGAATAGTGATTCTTGGGTTATCATTAGTGATTTGTGCTTATTTCTGATTTCTAATGATGGCGAGTACAAATCTTAGGGGCGAAAATATCGAGTACTCTTTGTTTATGGAATACTAGTGTTAGTAGTCTTTTCTTCTTCTGCAAGTCGTTGTTAGTAGTGTTTTTCCATTACCAATTGTCAATTGTGTATAGTGATTCTAACGTTAGTAGTGTTTTCTTATTTGGTGATTCATTATTAGTAGCCTTTTTCCATTTTCAAGCACTTTTACGGACTAATATTAATAATGAATAAGTTATCATTTCTTTCTAAAAGTTAGCAATTACTACGGCAAATTCCAGAATCACTACTGATAGTAATTTAAACTCTAAAAAATATATAAAATCACTACTACAATCCACAAAAATCACTACTAATATAAGTTGTAGTAATTTTTCATGAGTACTTTTTTTTACGCTGGAAATCCGTAATAAAAGGAAGAGAATTATATTTCAAATTTAACTAATTAATTTAATTTTTCGAAATACCAAATAAGCCCCTCGTTGCTATTCACCATCTGATTTAAACATATGTATTGAACGTTGATTAAAGTAGTTAGCACAGTGCTAACCCCTATGGAATTAGCACTGTAACTCATCCCGCCAATATACTAGACCATTGTTTATGAACAGAGCAATGAAGATAGTGAATGTATTTTTTTTTTTTTTGACAAACAAGCTTAATTTCATTCATAAAACGATTGTGATACAAGCCAGGAACATTACAATAAAGGCGCAATCAAGTCAAGGATCAAGATAGTGAATGTATGATCAAGCCATTTTTCCTAGTTTTACCATCTCATATTCCAAGCTTGGTTAGTACTTTTTGTTAAAACAACTTTTATCGATTGGTAATCTTATCTTTACTTAAATTGAATTCATTTCTTGATGCAAGTCTAGCATGTACCGTTATGCTAATTAATTGACGAATAAAGCCTTGCCGTTTCTACTGATCTTTTCCCTACTTACACAAAAACAACGATTAACAAGGGCATGTGATCGACAATCAAAGACTATTTCTAAATGGTTAAGCTGTTAATACAAATTCCTTTTGGTTTGATCAAGTAATCCGAATCTAACCAGCGTTCTTTAGATAAACCGATCGGTGTTATTTTGAGTTGAAAAATGCGAAGTTCGAGAACGCATGTTGCCGGTGGTTAAAGACTAATCGATCTTCTTAGCATCGATCACACTTCTTAATCCGATTTTAATTCGTTAAATGAAAAAATAAAATCGACCTCATTTGATTTAACAAGAGAAACTGAAAAAATCAATGTATAGCGTGCGCACACTTGTACTGGATCAAAAGGAAAAGCCAAAAGTTACAGTGAACTGTCCTTTTTGCTTTGGCGGCCACTCCCTCCGCAAAGATTTCGTCCATCCCTCCACTTCATTTCATTTCATTGCTCTCCAACACCTTCGCCTCCACCCGCTACAGAAACCCTAGATATTCTCCACTTCCTCCGTATTCCCCGCTCTCGGTTCACATAGTTCTCGAATCTTTGAGCTTCTTGATACGATTCCTTTCTCCATCTCCGAGCGCGGAGGTCGCCCGACGATGGAGGTTTCACTGACGAGTACCGCCGCCGCCGCGACCAAGCAAGTAGAACAGCAGCAGCAGTTCGCTTTGGCGTCCCTGACTGACCTTGCTTCTTGCTGTTCTTCTTCTTCTTATGTAGCTTCCGCGTCGTCGTCTTCGCCGGCAGTTGCGACTTTCTCCGCCGATGACGGGGTCGCCGAGCTGCGATTCCGCCGAGAGTCCGATTCCGACGGCGGCGGCGTTGTCAATGTCGATCTCACTACAGCTCAGGTCAGTCTTTCTTTGCCCCTGCCGAATTGGGAATGGTAGAAAATGTTGTTGTTGTTCTAGTGGCGAAAGGTGGAGAATCTTGAATTGGAATGACACCCGTAATTTCCCTGTATGACCTATTCGTTTGCTTTTCTTTTCGCTCATGCACAGTTATGGAAGCTGGGTCCGACGCAGACGGTTTGCATATTCGGTGGTTCGGATTGTGATTCCAATGAAGAGGTAGGCGACTAGTATTGCGATTGCTTACTTGTGTTTATGGATTTCTTGGCTGGTCGCCTCAAATTTGCCTGGAAGTGGGGAATTCCAAGAGAGTACGGGGTTGCGAAAGCTTTGCTTATGTCTTGATTGTGTATAGATTGTTCAAGAACATCATGCATGGCGTGAATTATATAATTGTTGAACTGTTGTGGAGATGTTGGTGAGTTAACGTCATTACTTTTTACCAGAAATATTCCAAGGGAGTCACTGTTCAGTTTAGAAATGAGGAGGAAAGCAGGATCTTCCATTGTGCATTTGAGCAATGGAAAAAGAAAGGAATCATTACTCAAGGTGCTATGCTCTGGATAAATGTCCTGGTTCATATAGATAGTAACCCTGTTTGCACTCTTCTGGACTTGGATTTTGAGGAATTTCTCATGAAATATTTATTTGTCCTGCTTTATTTTACTCTTTCCTAGTGTTCTGCTTTTGAATTATCGTGGCATTCGGTTTTTCACTTCTTTTCTGTTGGAAGTTCGGTTTAAATATTTCATAAAATCAAGCTGATGTTTAAATGGAAGTATGGTATAGAATCAGTTGTCACTGGTTAATAGAGTACCTGGCAGTTTGCACTCTAAAGCTACTGTCCTACGGAAACATGCACATTGAAAAATGGATTATGTAGTGCTTTATGTATTTCTGTTGGAACTTATAGAATAGTGCTTGAGATTTCGCATTTATGGAGAATGTTTAGTAGAATTCTTGTCGTACTGACACAGTTTTAGTGCATAACATGAGTCTAGTTCTTCTGTTACTGTACTGCTTATTGTTTTATAAATTGTTCTGTAAGTCAGCTGGATCATGATGACCTAGAGGTTAACTTTTTTCCCTTACCAAAATCTTTTTGATTAAGCGATTCTTTATATATGTGTTCAATTGTTGTACTCAATGCAAGAAGCCTGAATAACTTGCTTATCCTAACTGGTTTCCACACCCATATTTGCAACAATCTTTTTCTGTTAACCTCCTTGTGAGGTTATTCTAAGGTGACCCGTCTTATTCTTTTGATGCTTGCCAACATGGATGGTCTCATTTTTTTTATTATTTGTGTCTCCTTCTTTGTCTCCCAGGAGAATCTTTGCCTAATGGAACATTGAGTAGTAAAAGCAAGTTTGATGACAAGATAGAGCCTTCATCAGCCAAAATGTATTTCCATTATTATGGCCAGTTACTACACCAGCAAAATATGCTCCAGGACTATGTCAGGACAGGTATATGACACTGAATATCGCTGCCTATTACCGTTCGATGATGCGGTTGAGCTTTTCGTTATTGTTATTACTTGTCATGTTCTATGGCAGTATTCAAAAGTTAGAATGTTAATTAGCCTTGATTTGCTAGAGCTTGTTAGTATCTTCAGATAGGCATTGCCTTGATGGTTAAACGCTTGTTTCAGGAACCTATTATGCTGCAGTCATGGAGAATCGTGCAGATTTTTTTGGTCGTGTGGTGGTGGATGTTGGCGCTGGTAGTGGTATCTTGTCATTATTTGCAGCTCAGGTATATTCTGTCGGTTCTTTCATTGTTTCATTCATGATTCTTTAAGATAGGGGTACACTTCTGCCATTCTATTTGCTCATATCATTCTGCTTTTGATCCAGGCTGGGGCAAAGCATGTCTATGCTATTGAAGCATCTGAGATGGCAGACTACGCCACAAAGCTTATTGCTGGCAATCCAGCACTCGGTGAAAGGATCACGGTGAGTTTTTAAGTTCATTGTAGATACATGTTAAAAAATAAAACTCTACAGAAGCCACTTTTTCCTCTCTGATTGTCTTGGTCCATTACCAAATTGTAGGTAATAAAGGGTAAAGTTGAGGAAGTTGAGTTGCCAGAGAAAGCTGATATTTTGATCTCTGAACCAATGGGTACTTGTCATCCACTTTGGCCGTTCTTTCTAATCATGAATATTTCTCTACAGTTGTACTTTCATAAATGCATTGATATGTATTGAATACATTTACCTATCCGTTGCTCTTATACTTGTCATTATCATGAATTCCTTTCCTTTTGGAGGTAGGAAAAGGTACTTGCTGGTTAAAAGGATGAATGCCTAAGATTATGCGACAAAATTAATATTTCTGAAGGTTTGCTGATTATTATTGCCTTACATGTTCTGCATTTTCTTTAATTTTGTGGATATGGCATGTAGGAACCCTGCTGGTGAATGAAAGAATGTTGGAGTCCTATGTAATTGCAAGAGATCGGTTTCTTGCTCCCACTGGAAAAATGTTTCCATCTGTTGGAAGGTAAAGATTACAATTGAAATCTGGAATTTGAACACCGCCTATATATTAGGATATCAAACTGTGTAGAGTTTAGTAAAAATCGGATACTCACCTAACACAAGGCATATTTGGAATCTTAAGGACTGAGCAATTTGGGTTCCACTTCTGCTTCTGATCTACTGAATATAGACCTTATGTTCGCTCTAGGTTTTTTAATTAAAGTACTGAATTTGGCAGGATACATATGGCTCCTTTCAGCGATGAGTATTTGTTTGTTGAAGTTGCTAATAAGGTCTGTACAACGTTACTTTCATGCCCTGTCCTGGTTCAGAGGTGAAACAATTAGTGAATTTCATCGCAATTCGCCTTTTCCTTGTTCATTTGCAGGCCCTTTTTTGGCAGCAGAAGAACTACTTTGGTGTTGATTTAACATCACTGCACGGATCCGCATTCCAGGGTTACTTTACTCAGGTGTTTGTTGAATCTCTCCTCAAACTTTTGTTATCTTTAAGAGCTCAGATCAATTCCTTAGCAGAAAAAGTTCTTCCCTATTTTCAACAGAGATGCATTCTTAAGTGATCATTGAATCTTGATGTTTTTACTTTTTAGCAATTATGACATTCTGTTTTTGCAGCAAGCTGCAAGTTACATGTTTACTAATTATTACAATCTTGATTCCAGCCTGTTGTAGATGCTTTTGATCCAAGGCTATTAGTAGCTCCCGCAACATATCATGTACTAGACTTCACTAAGATGAAGGTACGTGCGACCCTTGTAATCTGTTCTTGTTTCTCAAACATGCTTAAGGAAACGGAGATTAATTTTTTCATGCCTCTTGGACTCTCAGTCCCCCTGTATTAACCAATTAATGTTATTGATAAGGTTGCTAGGCACTCAAACTTTCTTGGATTGGCTTGGGAATTTATTTCTCTCTTTTTCTTCTGATTTCATCCTCCAGGAAGAGGATTTGTACGAATTATATATCCCCTTGAAATTCACAGCCTCTGTTGGCACTAGAGTGCATGGACTGGCTTGTTGGTTTGATGTATTATTTAATGGAAGGTATGTCTTCTATTTGGTTTACGTTTCTTCTGATATGCTATAGCATAAAGGCTTAATTTCTTTTATTATCTATGATATTTATCTGGAGCTGTCTTACTGGACAGTACCGTGCAAAGGTGGCTTACAACTGCCCCTGGTGCTCCGACGACCCACTGGTATCAGCTGCGCTGCGTCCTGTCTCAGCCACTCTATGTGATGGCAGGGCAAGAGATTACCGGCAGTCTTAGGTTAGTTGCACACAGTGCTCAGAGTTACACCATCCACCTCACATTGTCAGGTAGGTCTCTTTCCCCATCGTCGGAGTCTACTCCCATCATTTTGATGACTCTGTAATAGTACATGAGGGACTGACTTGCTTGTAAACAGCGAAAATGTGGGGGGTGGGTGCTGAACAAGGCGGAATACTGCAGACTTCGTCATGCAAACTTGATCTGAAAGAGCCATACTACAGAATGTCCCAACCATACGCCATGCCACAGGATCAACAACCTCATCAATTGGTACCTACACAGGTAAAAGAAAAAGCCCGTTGTTTCGCTCTTTACCGAATGCACAAGCGACCTGAATAAATGTGTTAGATTGGAGTGAGTAAATGTAATTTGCCGGGTTTATGGTCGTTGTTTGCAGGATGTACACATTCAAGCAGATGACTTAGATGATACAGATTTGATACAGCCATTGCAAAATCTGGAAGCTCAGCTCCCGTAATAGGCTCGGCTCTGTGTGACAATAACGTAGATTGTGTTCTTCTGTAACATAGAATTTGTAACCTACTGGCTATGGAAGGCCAAGGTTTCCCCTCAGAGTAATTCATTTACTACCATTTCTCCAAAAAATTTATGAGGTGATTCGCTTTGTTGTGTTTCCAGTTGAGCTCATGAGGTATGTAGAATAATGGAATCCTGTTTTGCCCTAAGTTTTGGTTCTCGAACCGCATTTGTTGAAAAGTAAGAAAAAATTGTGAGATTGCATCTGTATTGGTGAAAGAGAGATACTTATTATTCCCTATCTTAGATGAATGTAGTCCTAGTGTTAGTTGGTGACATGATTCCATATTCAACTTTTATCTATGTCCAATCTGTCACAAGACGAGTATTCAGTAGTTTGTATAATTTTCTTTAAACATTACAAATCATCACAATCCTGCTCCTTCTTGATACTCATAATTCTCAAATCACTTCACAATCAACACTTCCAATGAAAGAAACCCGTCATTATTGAAGCAAGTATTCGAAAACAGTAAGGAGGGAGATGACTATGGAAATTCTTTTCTCTCGTAGAAATGAACACATGAACCTCAGTGTCACCACCGACTTGCGACTTCACGCAAACTCATTTTCATTTTGGTAAGGTGTCCAGTTGCCATTGTCATTCCTAAAATTTATACTATACAAGTCAATTACTCATTTTTGGCAAGGTTATTGGTAATAGTAACACACCATTTTGTTGTTAAAAAGAAAAGAGGATGAGATGAGGAGATCTCCACTAATAACACTCTCCAAATCGAAATTCTAGAGAAAAAAACACTAGGCGTAACCAAAAATATGCAGCTTGAATTCAATATCACATTGCTTTGAATAAGACTAGTAATAAGTAATAACTGTTCCCAACTTATAACTTACACAGTCGAATTTCTCACTCGAAAAAAAATGAGCTTATGTTCGAGAAAACTCTGCCCCTGTTTTACATATCAAACTGACTAATCTAAGCAACTACAATCCTGATTCCAACTCTCGCTAGCTAAACAGGAAAGAAACACGAGCGATCATTTAAGAAACCGCTATGCTGCCACTGCCGGCGTGCATCTTGAAAAACCTCGACGGCGTGGGCCGGAAATTCACCCGCCGCGTTTCGTCTCGACTCGGCGGCTTAATAATCTGCTCCAGATACGCACTCAACGTGAACGCCTTCGCCTTCAGCGCCGGCGCCGCCAATTCCCTGCCGTTCCCCTGGTTCTTGTGGAGGCTGCAACGGTACGACCACGGATTGTTCGTCGGCGAGCAGGCGCACGCCGTGGTACTCTGAGTCTTGACGGCGGAATTCACTGGAGAAGAAACAGAGCAACTTCCAGCCGCCACCGACGTGCGCGCCGGATACTGCTTCTTGTGGAGGCTGCAGCGGTACGCCAATGGATGGTTCGACGGCGAGCAGTGGCACGTAATAGTAGTGCTATTCTGAGTCTTGACGGAGTTCAATGAAGAAGACGGAGAACTTCGATTCGCCGACTGGTTCTTGTGGCGGCTGCAACGGAACGAGCCTGGGTGGTTCGACGGTGAGCAGAGGCATGGAGTAGTGCTCTGGGTCTTGACGGAGTTCAGTGAAGAAGAAACAGAGGGACTTCCCGCCGCCGTCGAAGTGGGCGGCGAATACTGGTTCTTGTGGCGGCTGCAACGGAACGAGCCCGGGTGGTTCGTCGGCGAGCAGAGGCACGGAGTCTTGGAGGAATTCGTTGCCATTGTTGAGACTTGATTTGTGTGATGGGTTGGGACTGAGGAAATCTCTTGTTTCCGGTTTCTTTTTATAATCCTTCTTTTCCGTTTCCTGATCGTAATCGGAAACAGAGGAAAGCCAGCCGGACTCTGTTTTCCTTTCGGATTTCCGGTGGGTTTTTTTTTTTTTTTTTTTGCCCCGTATGTCAATTCTTCGCGTTGACCGCCACGTGGTGATTGGATATTAAGGACTTCAGGCACGCATGGTTTTAATAGAGCATAAGATAGCAAAGTATTTTGGAGTGCACTAATGGATGTAAGCATTTAGCTTGTAGATTATACGTGTTTTCAATAGAGAAAGCAAACTTACAATCTATTAGACATTTTACTTTGAATAAAAGGTTCAACTTCTAACTTTGTTGAGTTATATATTTATCAAATAGTAAAAAAAAAGTTATAAATTGACTATATTCGATCATTACATATGTCAATTTGAATTAAGTTGAGGGAAATGTTGGACACTTGGTGTATTTGGGCAAAACATTTTGGTGTGCAAAACAAAAAAATTATGGGGCATCGTGTACAACAACTCATGAAGTTGAAAACTGTTGGTCAATTGAAGATAAGACCGTTGTGAATATGATCTTTCAGCTGGTGATGACCTCATAACTTTTATTATTTCACATAATTTTTAATCAAAGCTAATTTCATACTAAATTTAGTAGGCTTGCAATCATACGAATTTTGGATAATAGATAGACATGATAAAAATAATTATAAAAGAAGTAGAAATTCAACACAGATTAATAAAAAGAGAAATATAAACAAATTAAACATCGGTCAACAAACACAAAACTAGTTGATTCCTATTGATGTTATTATACTATTTTTGCCTTGCCTTGTCTTGTATCAACATAATCCTAGTGTTCCATTAATGACTTGATTCGATGTTAAACTTTCATTTGTCGAATGACAAGTATCCGAAAGTTAATAACTTCGTAATTTATAGAATATATTTCTAAACTCTATAAATCATCACGATCCTGCTCTTCTGGATGCTCATATTTCTCAATCACTTCACAATCACCACTCTCAATGAAAAGAAAACTATCAATCATTGAAGCCGGTATCCAGAAGCTGTACTACAGGTTCAACAACCACCCTAATCAGTGACTACCAAGGCAAAATCTCGCAAATTTGATGCCTACGAGAGAACCAGAAGGTCGAGAAAAGAAGTAGGGTGATTTTGTAGAGTAATTAGAGCACTTTTCATAGGTTATAAGAAAGAAGGAAACATCTAACAGAAACGTATAAATATGTGTTAGCCTTCCTGATTCATATACACTGTCAAACAAAGAAGAGGAACTACCAGATGAACATGGTATAAGTTTTGTGACATGGTTCCTTCCTCAGTTTCTCATGCTGCCACCATAACAAACCCTCCCCAAGACAGCCATCACAACTGGAACAATCTCCATTATAGCAAACTGCAGCTCCAAGCTACTGCTCTTCACACTAATCCTCCCTCTCTTCTTATCATTCATCCAGACGCTCAAACCGACTTTCGAACCTCTCCTAAACTCCATCTCACTCTGCAAGCTACCAATCAGACTCAAACCCTCCTTCCATTTCACCGCAGAAAGACTCGATCTTGACTCGTCGTCATGTTTCATCCCCAGGGCCAGTATAGCTATGGACATGCCGAAAGCTGTCTTGTTCACCTTAAAGTTCCCAACTTTGGTCTCGCCCTGGATGTCGAAACCTGCCATTGTGGTTGATCTGTCTAGTGCTGAGGAATCCAGGCGGAGATTGAAGTGGTTCTTGTCCTTGGTGAGCCGGAGGGATAATGCAGATGGGAACTGATTGCCAATGGAGAGGTTGTTTCTTTCAATGGTGACTCCATCATGTCCGCAATAACCATTCATATCAAAAGCTGGCTTCATGAGGGTAACTGGTGTTGGCTCCAGAGGTCGATATCTGAACGAAGGTGGCAGGAGAATCTCAGGCAGTGAATCTGAATCCATACTGTCTACGGATTTCTTCCTCATTGCTTCCACATACGAGTCAACAAAATCTCCACCACTTTCATTAGCAAGTCTCAGGAGAGGAGTCTTGTAGATTCCACTCGCTTCTGATAGAATCTTCACTGAGCAACACATAAGCAACAACTGGGCAGTCCAGTTCTTCTCTTTCTGATTGTCAGCAAGGGCCACTGGCTTCCGATTTCCAGGATGCGCAAGAAGCTGGTCACCAACTGCTAGGCTGATTGCGTGTTGGATCCCATAGCACCTCCGAGCAACGAAACCCTCGAAGCTCAATGGTCCATCTTCTTCAGGAGGAAGAGAAGAAGGAGAAGAAGCATGAGTGAGAACGACAATGGCATTGTCCCATATGGATGGTGTTAGAAACTTAGTGATTTCTCTCAGCAATGTAGCATCAGCAGTTTCATCTATCGTGAGATCGTCCAGCCTGTCAACATAGAGGATAACATCTGGAGGGAACTTCTTCATGAATTTCTTTACAGAAGAAAGTATCTTTCTGTTGGTGGATGCATCCTTGAAGGAAGATCTCAATCCTGGCGTGTCGAGGATTCTGACTCGGATGCCATTCACTGTACTAGAAACTTCATTGACAATGGTTGTTGCCGGCTCAAATGCATTGATCGAAACTTTCTTCTCCCCGAATATGGAATTAATGGTGGAACTCTTCCCCACTCCAGTTTTCCCTATAACCAATATGTTCAAACTGAAGTCTAGACTGTCACTCCCTTCTGTTTCACCCTCCATTGCCAATCTCTCAGAGGACTCAAAGCTAAGTTCTCGGCTGCCATACCCTCCTGCTAAGTTGTACATTACCTGAGCAGCAATTGGGTCTTGAGGAGAGCATCCTAGTCTATTGATAAGCCTCAATAACTTAACGATAAGATGCTGATTCATCTGAAACACATTCTTCTTCTCATCTTCAATTAACCTTAAATTTGCTGAATTCGCAGGAAGAGGGCTAAGGCCACCAAATGAAGAACCTGTATCAGCAGACCACTCAGAAGAAATTTCTCTGGACACATCACTGAAGCACGTGGTGAAGCTGCTGCTCCTGCTACCATCGGATTCAAACACTTGCTTCTCTTTTACCTCAATTCCTGTCTCAATTTTCAAGTCAGCAATATGACCATTATTGGTCTGCAAATCACTGCAGTCCTCAAAACCCTCCTCGATAACTACATCTAAAGGTAATGACTTTTTACTTTCTACTTCCTCTTCAAAACTTTCAGTTTTCCCAGGCAACTCGAAGCTTTGATTTGGGCTGGTGCCAAGTTCCATGCCAGCAATCCTGCCATTCATCGTGTGGGAATCACTGCTGCAATCCTCAAAGGTCAAGTCTTTGACATCTGGTTCAGGCAGTACAGTGATTTCACCTGCTTCTTCAAAAAGATCAGTTCCTCCATTTCCAGGCAACTCCGAGCTCTGATTAGGCCCAGCAGGATCAACTTCCAGGTCAGGAATCTGGCTGCTCGTCGTATGGGAATCACTGCTGCAGTCCTCAAAGGTCAAGTCTTTACTAACAGCTGGATCAGAAAGCAAAAACGTTTTACCTTCTACCAATTCCTCCTCTTCAAAACTTCCAATTCCTCCATTTTCAGCTAGCTCCAAGCTCTGGTTATTTGGCCTGGTGGCACTCCCAGCATCAGCAGGAACAACAATGACTTCCTCGTCTTCAACTGCTTTTCCACTATCCTTCTCATTCTGATCACACTCCGTATTCTCACCTGAACTCTCAGCTACCATCTCTTGAACCTCTGGCTCAGCAGTAGTCACAAAATGTTCGACTTTTACCACATCTTCCTCGTCAGATGTCAAAATCTTCTCCTCAGAAACCTGTTCTTTCACCATGGAAGCATCAGAGGCCTGAACTTCTGGTACATCCTTTCGAACATCAGACGATTCATCAACAACAGCTGAGCCAGAATCATTATCCAAACTGCTTCCAAATCCAGCAACATTACCAGAACCCGAAGTCGCATTCGGAGCTCCAATAACAGTTCCAGAATCCGACAGCTCATCTATCTGCTCAGAAACCTGTTCTTTCACCATGGAAGCCTCAGCGGCCTGACCTTCTTCTATATTATTTCGAACTTCTGACGATTCACCAACAACAACTGGACCAGAATCTTTTTCCAAACTGCTTCCCAATTCAGCAACATTAGCAGAATCCGAATTCTCAATCGGAGCTCCAATAACAGCTCCAGAATCCGACAGCTCATCTGTCTCCCTACCTTCATCTTCCTCTTCCTTAATTTCCAGAAACTGAACTCTCACTCTAGCCTTGGTCTCCAAGCCGGGAACTCTAGCAACAACCGTGGGCACGGCACCGTTTTCCCCGTCACTAACATCGGAGAAATCGACCTCCTCTTCGTCCTCATACAGCGACAGCTGAGCGACAGGCTTTCCTACTACCACCTTCGCCACAACCGGCCTAAAGGCCTCGCCTTTAACGTCCGTCGATTCACCTTCTTCGATAACAGAGTCCTCTGTTTCGAACCCTCCGTCACCATCCTCGTCGGCGACGCTACTCCCGTCGGAGAAGTCGCTGACGTTGGAGTCGAAATCGGAGGAGTCGGAATCCGCAGTAACCGGAGCCCGGATGCGGAAAGACCCAGCATTCTCCAACAGCAAAGAAGATGGACCAGCACCAGCAGCAGAGGTCCCCTGTTTTGCTGGGGAAAGGGGAACAGCAGCACTGCTACTAGGCCTGCTAGTGGAAGCCGCCGCCATTGCGCCCCTGGTAGTGGATAGAGCTCTCAATCAATCAGCAAAAGGGTTGGAAATGGCTAGAGAAAAACGTGTAAAGCAGAGCAGATTCCTGATTTTGGTAGTGTGGGGATGGAATTCGAGCATTTGGGATTTGGTTTTGTCAGTATTTGGTTTGTGGGTAATTGCCAATTTGGGGGGGATAAGGAGGGGGAGAAGCTCGATGGGTTTGTGTTTGGCGGTGAGGGAATTGGGTCCCGGCGGCGGCTTGCGGGTGGTGGTGGGAGCTTGGAGATGGGATGGCGACGGCGAAGAGGGGGGAGATTTAGGTTTTGTTTTGCTTGCCTCTCTCTTTTTGTTGGCTGGTGGCGAGGATTCCTTCTTTCTTTCTTTCTTGTTGCTCCTCAGTTTTGCTGCTGCGGCTGCTGGGGCCTCTTCGTGTTCTTTTCTGATTCCCCTTTTCCCCTCTCGACCTATTTCGTGGCGCTGACCAAAGCAATTTAAATTTTAAATCACAGCAGCAAGGCAACGAGTAGTTTATCTGAAATACTTTCTATCTTGAGTTCCGAGCTGCATTTTGGGCACCAACTAGGGCTGGGAAGGATATTAATCTATCACTTTAAAGAAAAGTAAATATCATAACCAATCATACTAAATATATTTGTTGTATCTTTTTAAAATAAAAATATATAATTGCAGAGAGGAAAAAACTATTCTCCTATTTCAAATTCTCTGCTCATAAAATAAAAGAATTGAATGGGCCTGACCTACACGGGATTTGTCCATCTAGTAAAACAAATGAACATCATGGGTTTGTCATTCCAAAACAAGCTATTTTCTCTAGTATAATATATATTATGCTATTATTTTATATCTTAATGGCTAAAATATAATATATTTTAAAGTTATTCAATGGTTCAACCTCAACCAACCCAATTAGTCCAATTTTTATCATTTCAAATATATATTATGTAATTATTTGATATCATAATGATTAAATTATAGTGTATATTATAGGGAATCGTTTGGTATTTATTAGTAAAAAACTAAACAGAAAGATCTATTTGGTTATTTTTAACATTAAAATGATCCTAAACATTTTCAGTTTCCTTTCAAAATTCTATAGTTTTATTCCCGAATCAGTGATGTGCAAATGGCAAATTGCAGTCATATATTTTCTTTCATTATTTTTTATTTTCAAATAGAAAGTTTAAAAGTAAAGAATAATTAGAGTTTGGCATGGGTCGGTCAAGCTGAATTTCAAGTTTTGGCCCGTTTTGATCTAATTTATAATCACATGGTTCCCTAATACCCAATAAAAATCTCAATCCGAACCACTCTGGCAGGTGAGTCCGTTTTTACCACCATTTTCTAAGGATACAGGAACGGTGGTTCATGTCCCAAATTATGTTGTTCATTCTTGATTTCTTTAGATTTTATCATGGCTTGGCAAAATAACAGAAAGCCCAATGATGACAAGATGAAAGTTTTATAAAGCAAATTAATCGGCCAACGGGTCGAGTAAAAGCTAGCAATGATTGTGAGATGCTCATTTCCCGAAAATCGGCGGGATAGACGATTTTTTATTCGATTTTCTGGAATTTGGTTTCTATAAAACTTACTCCACCTCATCATATTACCAGAAACAATATTGTTTCACAAGGTAACATGTACTTGATTTTGGTTCATAAGGCTGATTTTTGATTCGTTGTATCATTCATGTCTCTTTCCTACTAAAATTCACTATTTTTATCACGTGTTTCCCAAAAAAAAAAAAACTATACACCCATTACATTATCAAATTTCATACCTCACCTTTCTCCGGCCAAATGAACGGGGCCCACGCTAGTTTATTTTAAATAAACGGTGGATTTAAAAATGAGGACTTTGAGTTTTAAATTTTTTTTTTTTGGGATTTAAGATAGATTTGGTGCATTGTTGTCGATTTAGAAGAGTATATTGTTTGACTAGTTAATTTTTATCATGGGTTTATGATGGATTTGTCTCACAACTTTGTCTTCTATTATCAAAGTCCAAATGAAATGTGGGATTTGGATCTAAAAAAATGATCCACCTTTAACAAACAATGAATTTGTGTTAGATCCTTGATGTTTGGAATTTGGGTGCCAAATCTATCACTCAAATCTCACAAGCAAACGATACATAAAACCAAATTGATAAGGATGTCATCAGTTTTGGATTTTGATCACATATCAATTTTGGTTTTAATCGGAATATTGATAAGAAATGAGAAATATTAGGCTAGAAATGTATGGAGTTTGGTTACGATTGGTTAATCAACCGAACCAACACGCCTAGCATCAAGTCACCGACCAAATGGGTCGGTACTTGGTAGTGCAATTAGCACTAATCTCTCTTATTTATGCAATAGAAGACTGCCTTCTATTGCCCAAACAATAACTCATAGTGTTGGGTTGTTGTATTGCTCCATAAAGTATAATTAGGGGTACACGATTGAACAAATATGTAATTTCTCGTGAATTTTTTGTTGAAGACATTTTAGATGAAAAATACAGTGATGAGATTGAGGTTCAATCAAACTCAATGAAGGAATTCAACAAATAAACTACTTTAGACTTAATTGAATTTTTGTTACTTTAAATAAATGAAATTCTAGACATTTCAACTATCTCATCTTGGTTGTTCTCCAATAAAACAAGTCTCATAACTCGATAAGTAACCATGATTCGACATTTCTTCCCTGAATTTACATACTGAAACAAAAATTTAATGATTTCATTAATAAAATTTCACCGATTTGAATTTTACTTATTTCCAGATGTCACTCTATTTCGAAATTCCTTTTTCAGAAACAAATACTATGATGGGCATAATCAACAAGTGTCAACCAAACATATAGAATCTCAAAGGCATGGGTAAGAGGCAATCCCATATGCACATGTGTTTACATTTTAAGCTACATGAGTGATGATTTGGTTAAAACTCTAACTAAAACATAGTAGGAGTTAGACAAATAATTTAGGTCGACCACTTGAATGACAATATGTAATATATTTTGTGTAGCTTATAATGATCGATCGTGCTGCTGCTCATCCAATTGATCAGTTTCAAGGAAAGATGTCTATGACAATAGAAATTGGTAGCTCTATATTTAATACAACAAATGCAAGTTAGTAGCATCAAGCCGTCGACAAGTTTAACTTTGGGTAAATACAATTTAATATCCAAACCTTTCATTTTAAACAATACAATAGCCAAACCTTTTCGAAAACAATCTAATATCCAAATCGTCAACTTTCTGTCTTTTTGACTGTTAGTTGACACTTCAAAAAAGTTCGAAGTACGACACTTCATCAATATCCATCGATATCTTCTCTGAAAAACCACCAACATATCGTAGTTCCAAACCCGAGAAGTCCATGACCCCACCATGATGGTATAGAATATCTAAATATTTAGTCATCTGCAATGCCAAAACAAGAAAACAAAGTTGTATTGTGACAATTTCTCTTAAACAAAGCTTTTTTGAAGTGTCAACTAACGGTCAAACGAACGGAAAGTTGACGATTTGAATATTAGATTGTTTTCGAAAAGATATGACTATTATATGGCTAAATTACACGTTTGGTCACTCAAATTATACAAATCTTTCACGTTTGCCACCCGAATTACTTTTCTTTCTTATTCGCCACTAACTTTACGAATCGTTTCACGGTTGGTCACCGGCCGTTACACTCCGTTAAATTTGTCCTACGTGGCAGTCAACTATAAAGTTTGACCGTTAACTAGATGACGTGGAAATTAAAAAAAATAAAAAAAAAATTTCTTTCTACCTCATTATTGCACTTATTTTGTCTATATAATTTATCATTTTAATAATTTAATAAAATTTAATAGATTATAAAAATGGACACCCATAGGCAAAGCTCATGGACGTCAGCGCCGCATGTATCGGGGACGAGATTGAAGTCGGAAAACCGAGGCTTCCCCTTCAGCGTGACGCTCCTGATCCTCGGGAACCGGCGGGCGACGTCTCCGGCGAGACGGAGTAGCAGTTCCTGTTGAATACGTTGCGGCGGGACCCCGCCATTGACAGCGCCACCGGCGAGGAAAGTGAGGCCGGCGAGGAAAGTGAGGCCGCCGAGCACTCCATGGAAAAATTGTGTGGTTCCAAATAAAATGACGTTCAATCAAAAGGGCGAGATGACGATTCACCTAACTATAATAGCATTCTAGATCTCTTTGGGAAAGACAAAAAAACATAACAAAACAATAGCATAGCCAAATCGAAAGCAGCAGGCAGGAATAGCATATATGGGTGAAGGAGGAGGCAGCATCGGCTCCATAAACAAATGGTCTCTCGACGGAATGACTGCTCTCGTCACCGGCAGGGCCAAAGGGATCGGGTAAAGTAAACTAGTAAAATTCCTCCATTCTCTGTTCCACCCAATTCTCCTTGCTTCCCAATTTCATCGAGCATATGCATTTCAGAGCCGCCATAGTGGAGGAATTGGCAAAGCTAGGGGCGACCGTTCACACTTGCTCCCGCAGCCAGGAGGAGCTCAATCAACGCATCAACGGCTGGAGAGAAAAGGGTTTCGACAAAATCACCGGTTCCGTCTGCGACGTTTCCTCTCGAGCCCAACGGGAGAAGCTCATGGACGCTGTCTCTTCTCTCTTCTCCGGCAGCCTTAACATACTTGTAAGTCTCCTGACAATGAATGACAACATCAAAGAGGTTCCCAGTAGCGAATCTAATTAGATGAAAATTTAATTAGATTCGGAGTAGCAGTTCCGAAACGAGCTGCAGCTTTGGTTCTTGGTTCTCCGGATAGCTGGTCCCGCCGCCAGGTATTCATCAGGAACTGCCACTCCGTCTCGCTGGAGATCGTCGCCCACCGGTTCCCGAGGATCAGGAGCGTCACGCTGAAGGGGAAGCCTCGGTTTTCCGACTTCAATCTCGTCCCCGATACCTGGGTCGCCGACGTCCATGAGCTTCGCCTCTGGGTGTCCATTTTTATTATCTATTAAATTTTATTAAATTATTAAAATGATAAATTATATAGACAAAATAAGTGCAATGATGAGGTAGAAAGAAAAAATTATTTTTTTTTATTTTTTTTAATTTCCACGTCATCTAGTTAACGGTCAAACTTTATAGTTGACTGCCACGTAGGACAAACTTAACGGAGTGTAACGGCCGGTGACCAACCGTGAAACGATTCATAAAGTTAGTGGCGAATAAGAAAGAAAAGTAATTCGGGTGGCAAACGTGAAAGATTTGTATAATTTGAGTGACCAAACATGTAATTTAGCCATATAATAGTCATATCTTTTCGAAAACAATCTAATATTCAAATCGTCAACTTTCCGTTCGTTTGACCGTTAGTTGACACTTCAAAAAAGCTTTGTTTAAGAGAAATTGTCACAATACAACTTTGTTTTCTTGTTTAAATTGAAAGATTTGGATATTAAATTGTATTTACCCTTTAACTTTTGTTGCACCACTTTTTCTTTTCTAATTTATATGGATCATTGTTTAAACTTTTTTTCCCCTCGAACTTACCTATAAATCATGTGATCCTATGGTCAATGGTTATGAACTTATGGTGTTGTACATTTTAGAGTACGGGCTGGCGTGGCAGCCCAACTACCAACTGTTGTATTTTATGGTCTCAATTGGCCCATCAAACCATCCAAATTGGCTCTATCTCGTAACAACGGTAAATACCACAAATTCCCATCTCCGGACCATTTAACGACACGTCTCTTTCTTTCTCTTCAAGATGTTCCTCATTGGGCGACCATTAAGCTACTGGGCCGGTCCAACAAGTAAACCCAATAACTCAATTTAGATTCGAAGGCCCAAAACCCGCCATATTAGGCCCAGCTTCAAGACGGGCGCCTTAAAACCCGAAATACGAGCTCCGTCCGACTCCAATGGCGGGTGCTTCTCGCGCCAGCCTCTCCTTCGCCTCACCGCCGGCCGTAACCACCGTCGCTTCCACCTCTGGCGGCAGATTCCGGCTCCGCCCAATCCTCGTCGCTTCCTCGTGCCCTTCATTTCCTTCGAGGTCGCTACGGAGGAAAAATTACCTGCGTCCTAAAATCCTCAAAACCCTAACTAAACCCTCGCCAACCGCTCCTCCTCTTCCGGAGATTGCTGCACCAGCTGAAGAATTGGAACTCCCCGTCGCTCCTCCTCCTCAATTGGAGCAAGTTGACGATGCTCCCTTGGATGAAGCCCCGAAGGAGGAAGTTTTACCCGCCGGAGAGATGGAAGAAGTTGAGAGTTATCGTGCCTTGGAGACTGTTGATAATGCTGGAAATCTTGGGGGCTCAATTGGTAAGCTACCTGTGAATTCAGTTTTGAAGTTTGCTGTCTTTTTGCTGGGCTGCTTCGTACTTGAGACGGCAGTTGTTGTGCTGTTTTTTGGAAGCCCCGAGAAGGAAGAGAGGTTGAGAAGTTTGGATAAGAGAAGGAATTTAGGGTCTCAGTTTGGGAATGTGGGTTACATTGGTGATGATGGTGAATTGGAAGAGAAGGTCAATGAGATTAGGGCCATGGCGAGGGAGGCGAGAAAGAGTGAGAAATGGCAGGTGGTGGAAAGTGAGCAAGAGATTGGGATTGAGAAGGAAGTGAGTGAACGGTTGGTGAAGCTGCAGAAGAAACTGGATTCCAAGAGGGATAAGTTGCCTGGACCGATTGTCGATTCTCTGGGGCTGTCGGCAAATCACGAAGACGATGTAGTTGGAGAAGATGAATCTGTGCCATTGATGTTCAAGAAAAAGCCTAGATTTAGAAGCCCGTCAGTCAATCCCAGGGGCACTCCAAAGGGATTCTCGGGTTCGGTAAGAGGAAAAGACCTCAATGGTGCATCGAGACAGGGTGGTTTCGGGGTTAGTAAAAATGATAAGAGCATGAAAGCTGGGAGTTCTGGAACGAGTTCATTGAGAAATGGCGGGAATTCAAGAAAGGAAAGCGAATCTGGTAAGTCACTATCATTTGCTTCTTATATTAATACATTTTCGACTCCCAAGTTGTGCATTAAGGCAGCTTATCATGTTAGTTTTTAATTCTCTTCTAAGCTGGATATCTGTCATATTTACAGGTGCTGTCCAGGAAGCTACTGAAGGGGTACCTACGACTGAAGTTACCAAATCACAGAGAAGCGGTATTGAGAACTATAAAATTGGGAGTGTGACGAGAGACAGACAGGAAACCAACATTAACCCCGACAGCGCAGATTCTTTGAGTGGCGATGGTGGAGTAGATGGCACACAGAAACCTGTGAAGAGTAACTTGAAGGATAAAAAGGCAGATCTAGAGACGAATATATGGTGGTCAAAGCTACCTTATGTTATGGTATGGAATCACAACTCATGAACCTCCTTCTTACTGCTGTTTTATCACGAACCTGATTCTCAAACTTAGTAGTGCTCCTAATGAGAAAAACATGCTAGCTATCTCAATACATAGTAGAAGTGTTATCGTCTTAATAGTAGTCATCCCTGTGTTACTGTAGGCTATCCTTATGCGCAGAGGGGTGGAAGATGAAGGAGAAGAGGGCCTTTTTGTTGTACGACAAAGTTCTGAGGCAGCCAACGAAGGGAACTCTTACACTCTTGCATTTCAAGACCGCTCGGATGCAAATAACTTTTGCTTTCTACTTGAATCTTTTTTCGAGGGTTTAGGTGACTTCAGTGCTGATATTGTTCCACTATCAGTACGAGTAAGAACTCCACTATGCGTCTATCTTTCTACCAAAAAAAAAAAAAAAAGAACTCCACTATCAACATCTATGAAAACAATAAATTATCTTATAAATTTTTGCAAAGTAGAAAATTGATGGAGATGATGAACTTCTTGCAGGAACTTACTGAGGCGATGAAATCAGATACCAAGAAAGTACTTGTTGTGAAGAAGGGCCAACTTAAGCTTTACGCTGGTCAACCATTCAATGAAGTTGAGAGGGCTTTACAGTCTCTGATTGAAGAGAATCAAAGCGAATAACTGTCAGGTGGTCAGTTTACAGGCTCTGATTGAAGAGAATCAAAGCGAATTATTGTCAGGTGGTCAGTTTACAGGCTCTTGGTATTCTTTGTTGTCTGATGACGAGCTTCTCCTTATGGATTCACCGAGTTTTGTAGACTATAGAAACGAGGAAAGTTTGCTTTTCTTTTGAGACATCATCCGAGACCATATATTAGACTGGCAGCTTATATTCAGTTATTGAGAAGTTTGATATCGATCGACTAGTGAGAACTTGTTGTGAACTGTGGCTTGTGTTCATATACATGAAACTGCAACCCAACAATGTGCACGCAAATTTTATCATTGAGAATCATGTAAAAGAGTATTACATAGACTGAGAATTCTGAAACCATCATCTCTACATGTAGAAAATTTCAATAGCTTTTACTGTCATCTACTGCAAACAATGAAAATCCTGTGCAGTCATCTCTTGTACCAGCAGTGATTTTGGTGAACCAGCAGTGATCTTGATCAGAGACTGAGCATGCACAGGCGCTAAATACGATTCGCAGAAGCTCTGCCATATCTCCTGCTTCTGCTCTTCATCTCTTGTATACACTTCATAGACAGAAACGACGATATTCCTTGCAGCTTCTCTCGCTTCAGGTAGTTTATCATTCAGCAACCTTATAGCCATTTCAGCCAGTGGTACAAACCCGAATTCCTTCATCTCTTCCATACCCTGCACAAAAAATGAAAACTTGAACCCGACCCAGTTCTACAACATCTTCAAACACAGAATAACAAACAGAAATTAAAGTTGTACCATCTTGGAGACTGCGGTGGAGATGGAAACTGCAGCTTTAGCCCTGACTCTAAGGTTATGATGACTGCCATATCCCTTCAGCTTCTGCAGCAGCGGCAATGGAGTCATGGACTTCACCATGGCACCCAATGCTCTGTCAGCTTCTTCACATACGAACTTCTTGTCCTGAGAAGCTTTCAGCAGGAGCTGGAGAAGCTGGTGCAAAATCAAAAAGACAACTTATTAGCAACAGAAAAAGCTTACCCAGAAACTGGCCAAAAAGATTGGGAACTGAAGTTCATACCAAGCTGTCAAATGCATCTGTTGTTGAATCAAGCAGCTTGTCGCCATAGGCTGAGAATATATCAGAGGAAGCCATGATAGAAGTCTTGATCAGAGCACTTCTAGGGTTCTTCATCGACTTGACCACCACTGACATTGCCTTTTCCCTGAATACGAAAATCCACACCAATCAATCAATAATAAAAAAGATCACTTGGAATTCGCTTGTGAAAACTTCTCTTTACCCCTTATATGAAAAATGAATAATCTTTACTTACAAGTTTGGAAGCAAGAGCACGGAGTGGAAGATTGCGAATTGCCTGGCCTTGTTCAGCGACGCGCACAGCATAATCCAGTCTTTTGAATCTAAACCCTCAACCATTCTCTGAAACCAAAATCAAAATGAAGATGGAATCTGGGTTATGCTCAGAGAACCGAAAACAGAGTAACCCAGAATTAGAAAAGAGAGAAAGGAACAAACTTGAATCTCAGACTCCGGATCATCAATGGCGACAAGTTGCTCGGAAGGTACGTAATCAATCGAGGCTTCTCCAGCCGGCGGCTGCTGCTGCAGTGGAGCCATGTTTTCGTCGTTGGCTTTTGATTCAGGCTGTTTCTGGGCGGCTGGGGTAGAGACTTTGAGTTGCTTCATTGGTCTCTCCGGTGGCGGCACAGGCAGGGCGTTGTCGATGGGCCTTAATGCCATTGTTGTTGTTCTCGAGTGATTGATCTGCGAAAGAGAAGATTTTTTCGAATGGAAGAAAAAAGTTCTGATCTTTGATAGCGAAAAGTGGCTGCGATGATGAGATTTTAACGGTGGGCGACAAGACAACAGAAAAGGAAACTTGGATTCGAATTTTGAAAGAGACGTTGTTGGGCTGCTTTATCGTAACGGTCAAATATAAATCTTACTGGGCTACAGGAATGATCCTCTGTAGTCGGGGTTACATGCACCTGCTTTGTCAAGTGGCAATTTGGTAAAAAGGAGTACAAGAAAATATGGCGGAATCAAGCAAATAGTCATCCAGTTATTTTCCTCTGCCAAAGGGAAGCTACTAGTTCTGAGTTTCGGTAGTAACCCTATCAGCTTATGATCTAACCGCACTCTTTCATTCTCTTTCTGTAAACTACAACAAGTAACTAATGGCACGAAAAATTATAAGGATCAAAACTTCTCTACACAATGGCATAATCTCGTCTTCAAAGTGTCCTAGCCAGAATCTGCTGAAGATTCTAGAGGGTATCCATCTATCCATATGGCGTGTCCAAATGCCGGCTGGTGTCTGAGGTATTTGAAGACCTGCATTTCATACCAAAAGCAGATGCCTGCAGTTTCTGGCGTTCTTGCAGTTCATGGTTCTTGGACTAGGGAATGTTTTGCATCTTCCACGAGTAGCTCAAATAATCGACCACGAGAGCAAGCTGAGATTTTCCGGAAATGAGATTATGGTGTCGAAAGAGATACCTTGTCCTGGAAGTAAACGGGGCCATCTGAGATACAGATAAGTTCTTTTGCTCCGAGCTTACCAATGTTTCGCAGCATGTTGAGATTTTGCTGTCTCTCGCAGGACAGCCCCAACGATGGCAGCCTGCTCTAGACATTCTGCCTTGTGCAGAGCATCCAAAAGGGCAACACAGGTCTTGGTGTGGATGTTGAAACCTTTCATCCTGGTTTCCTCGAATATCCCATATGCATCCACAGCTCTATTTCCAATGCTTAACCCTTCTATTATAGCATTGTAACTAGCAGAATCTGGTACCCCTCCATTTGCCTTGAACCTCTCAAAGAGGTTCTTTGCCTCCAAAATATTCCCAGCCTTAGCTAGCCCCGAGATCATGGTAGTGTAAGTGATGGTATTTGGTTTCAATCCTTGCTTCTGCATCTCTTGCCAGTACACAAATGCCTTGTTGAATTTCCTAATTTTGCAGAGACCGTTAATTAGGATGCTATAAGTTATATGGTTGGGAGTGCATTTGAGCTCCTTCATGTTCCGAAAACACACCACTGCCTCGTCGATTTCCTCGGATTTCACAAGTGCATCAAGCAAGGAGTTCCAGGTGTAAACAGTTGGTGCCAAGCCTTTCTGCATCATCTCTTCCATGATTAGATATGCCTCATCAATTCTACCCACTTTCCCGAATCCATCAATAAGGCTACTATAAATAACAACATTCAAGACTATGCCAATTGACCTTGCTTCTTCAAACAGCATGTACGCTTCATCAAGCCTGTCAATTTTGCAAAGGCCATCGATGACAGAACCATAGGTGACAACGGTTGGGTGGTGACCTTTTGACTTCATCTCATCAAGTAGCTGGTAAGCTTTATTCACTTTACCTGACTTGCAAAAACCGTCAATGACAGTGTTGTAGGCACGGGTGTCCAAGATACAACCTTGGTCTTTCATTGCATAGAACAATTCATAGGTTTCACGTGCAAAACCGGCTTTGATAAGGCCATGAATAAGGATAGAGTAACTTCTCACATCTGGAACAAGCCCTCTAGCCTTGATCTCCTCAAATAGTGCTCTTCCCTTTTCAGTTTCACATGCTTTGAAAGCGCAATCCATGTAGGTATTGAGAAGCACAAGGTCAGGAGAACAACCTCTTTCTAGCATCTCTTTGTATATCTTGTGACCATCCTCTTTCCTCCCACACTCAAAGAAGTTCCTTATGAGTGACGTGTATACAATAGCAGTTGGCATTTCATAGGAATCCAGCATCTGTTCATAAAGCCTGTATGCATCATCTACTCTCCCTTGCTTTCCCAAACCATCTATAAGTGAACAAAATGTAATCTCATCCGGAGTACAAACTTTGTGGTCCATCCCTTTGAATATCAAATAAGCTTGATCGACTCTTCGCGCTTTACATAATCTATCGATCATTATGTTCACAGTCCTCACATTCGGGAACATGCCAGCTTCTTCCATGGCGTCCCGAACCTTGAAAGCATCCTCGACTTTCCCTGCTTTACATAGTCTGTCGATCAGAATGTTATAGGTTGCAGCATTGGGAACTGCATCTCTCTTCATCTCTTCAAAAGTCCGAAACGCTTCATCGAGCTGTCCACTCTGACCAAGACATGTAATAATGCAATTATAAGCAATTACACTGGGAATGCACCCCTTCTCCTTCTGTCTCTCAATCAAATTGAATGCTTCATTGAATTTTCCAGCTGATCCGTATCCCATAATCATGGTATTGTAAGCATAGACGCAAGGGACTTTCCTGTTCTGATCCATATGCTCAAATATCTCCACTGCTTCATCTAATCTATTGGCTTTACACAAAACACCTATCATGCTAGTATACGTTACATCGTCAGGCACCAAACCATGTGCACTCATTTCATGGAAGAATTTCCAAGCCATATCCACCTTACCCACCTTACCAAAGGAATCTATGCAGACATTGTACAACACAATGTCAGCATCAAGAGAATTGCTCTTCATCTCATCTAATAGTGATAGAGCAGCATCAACACGACCTTCCCTAGCAAACACTCGAATGAGAGTAGTGAACAAGTGCACGCTGACTTCATAACCCAGCTCTTGCATCTGTTGAAAAAGAGCGAGCATGGGACCAGATTCATGAATAGCAGCAAGCGCACCAATCAGAGTGGTATAAGCAGAAAATGCAGGGCGGAATTTGAACTTCCGCATAGTTTGTATGATATCAAAAGCCTCTCTCAGCTTCTGGACTCTGACAAAGCTCACAACTAACTCAACGCTACAGCTATTACTCGGACCAAACCCTGCAATGCTCATCTCTCCAAGAATCTGCTCCAGGCAATAAGTGTTCTTAGCTTTGGCCATAACCATCAGAAGTGAATTGTAAGCTTCCGGACAAAGTGGGTGGTCACTTTTACCTTCCGCCCAACGAAAAAAGTTCAGTGCTTGATTCACATCCCTCAGCCTCCTCAGCACTCCAATCACTAATTCTGGTTGAGGCTTTTCGTCGAACATGTTCAGTGCATTCTCAATCTCCGGTCCCCATCGACCACCTTCCACAATTCGGCATGCCTCCTCAACATTCTGCCGAAACCCATCATACTTACTGAAGTGCTCTTGATTGAACGTGTAGTTAGCCGCCGCCGGTAAACTACCGCCGTGCTCCGGAGAGGACCCATCAGACGACAAGGACGTGAAGCTCCTGGAACTGATCAGAACCCGAGAGCAGCTCACGCTGCGCCCAAGGACTGCTCCTGAACCCGGAGAAAAAACGAAAAAAAGAAGAAAAAAGTTTAGAGCTTCCAACAATGAGACGTCAAAGGAAGAAGAACCATGAAACGGGAATGAAAAGATTGAAGCAAGAAAATAAAATCAACTTCAAAAAGTAACCTGCTTTCCTCGCCAACATTGAGGCAAGCGCATCTCCGAACTGCCGCCTAGCCACTTCGTTCACTTCTGAAAATATCGCCGCCGCCGCCGAGAAATGCCGTCGGAGAGTCGAAGGCCGTCTGGAGAAGGAAGAAAACATGGAGAAGGTCAGAAGAATGAAGCGAAGATGAAACGGTGACGTCAGATCAGACAACCTAGCGAACCGCAGGTCCGTTCGAAAACGGTGTCGTTTAAGGGTATGAGTAGTCTCCCGCGACCTTTTCTTTTCTTTATTCTGGATTTCTGGTCTTTTATCCACCAGTTGACTTGGAGTTTGACTAACCGTGTAAAAGCTTCGAGCCTTCGACCTGCTTTTTCCGGCACTTGGCGACTACAAATTAATGGAAGAACCGCCACACAGGACTTTGAAGATCAAGAACAGAGAAGGATATCGGAAGCAGCAGCAAAATAATGGAGCCGCAATACCCTCCTCCTCGCTCGTTGTGGCCGCACTACCGATTGGAAGAGACGATCCACCCATCGCCGGCGGTGGGACAGTACTCCGACGATGGCACGACGAGCGGCGAGCTCCGGGCGCTGGATTGTAACCTCAGTTTCCACTCCGATGATTTTGAGATGGAGGGCTTCAGTGCCGGCAACTTCTCCGAGGTTATGGGCTCCGCCTATCGCCTTATCCTCTCTCGTAGCTCTAACTTCAGGTTTTGCTCTCCCCTTCACCTTCGCGAAAAATTCCAACTGTTTATTTCAATTGGCTTCCTTTGGTGGCTGCGATGGCCTGTGGATGGGATTCGGAAGTTCGATTTAGAGATTCAGTGGATGCCATGAGTTTAGAATGTGGTTCTCTAGAATTGTACCCTTTTGTGTTTCGAGTGTTGTGGGAAACTGAGAAGAAAACTATTGTTTGTAATACCCATTTCCTTAGTTACCATGAATCGATTATGGGTTGATTTGGCGCGGCTTGCTTGTCCTGATTTACGATATGTTGATACCCTTTTGTTGTTATGCTCCTCCTGGCAGGAACATGCTACTTGTTAGGGGATCTGTAAATGGCCTTTCCCAGAAGACAAAACATCTAGGGAGCCAAGCATCTTCTGGAATCAATGTAATTTATCTCTTTCGTCGTCTCTCATGTGTCTTCTACTTCTTCTACTGTAGAGGGTATAGTTTATTCAGAACAACCATAATCTAACATGGCCAGACCATTTCATTTGCAGGGATCAAATGCAATGTTACTTCTGCTGCTGGTGGTACTGCTGATAACCAGGGTAGCTGATGGGCAACAAGCCTATGTTGACAACCACCAGCTCGATTGCTACAACCAGAGGTTCAATGAAACAACCCTAGGCTACGTCTGCAATGGACTCAACACTTCCTGCCAATCCTACCTCACCTTCCGGACATCTCCACTTTACAACACGCCTGTCTACATTGGATATCTCCTAGCTGCTGCTGCCCCTGAAATTGCCTCCCTCAACAATCTCTCCTCCGAGTTCTCCTCCATCCCAGCTGACACTCTTGTCGTCGTCCCTGTCAACTGCTCCTGCTCTGGCCGTCGCTACTACCAGCATGAAGCCACCTACAAACTCAAGTCCCACGATGAGACCTATTTCACTGTGGCCAACAATACTTACCAGGGACTCACCACTTGCCAGTCCTTGATGTCTCAAAATCCCTTCAATGACCGCCAACTCGCTGTCAATGAGACCCTCCGCGTCCCACTTCGCTGTGCTTGCCCCACCGCCAACCAGACCAGGACAACTGCAGCTGCCGCCACCACGACGAGGTACTTGCTCACTTACATTGTCACTTGGGGAGATTCCATCTCTTACATTGCCGAGCTCTTCGGGGTCGATCAACAGTCTATCCTTGATGCCAACCAGCTCTCTTCAGAAAGTGTCATTTTCCCCTTCACTCCCCTTTTGGTTCCTTTGTCTGGCGAACCGAACACCTCATTTCTTCTTCGCTCTCCCCCTGCTGCGCCTCCTCCTGTTCCACCCCTGACGCCCACTGATCAGACTGGCCAAATCCCTTCGGCCGGTGGATCCAGCCGCAAGAAATGGGTGTTTGTAGGTGTGGGAACATCACTAGCTCTCCTGTTAGTTATTGCGACCCTCCTGGCTGTGAAATTTGCTCGTCGAAAGAAGCAATCTCCGCCTATACATTCCTCCACCACCGCAATGGAAGAAGAAACAAAGGGTAATAAGGGTACCCCACCACCACAGTGGGAGACGGAGTCCGGTTCAGCTTGGTCATTGTCTCAAGGGATCAAAAACTCCGTTGAGGCATTGACATTGTACAAGTTCCATGATCTAGAGGTGGCCACCGATCACTTCAGCGAAGCTAACAGGATTAAAGGCTCAGTCTACAAGGGATCCATTAATGGAGATGCTGCAGCGGTGAAGGTGATGAAAGGTGATCTCTCTGCATCTCCCGAGATCAACATTCTGAAGACAATTAGTCACTCCAACATCATCCGACTCTCTGGGTTTTGCGTCAATGATGGCACCACCTATCTTGTTTATGAGTATGCCGAGAATGGTGCTCTCTCCGACTGGATTTTTCTTGGCCCTAGTAAGACAAAGCAGCAGCAGCTGCTGCTGCTACAACGAGAAAAACTCACCTGGAAGCAGAGGGTTCAGATAGCGAACGACGTTGCAGAAGCCATAAACTACCTCCACAGCTACGCTGACCCTCCTTACATCCACAAGAACTTGAAGACTAGCAACATCCTCCTGGACGCTGACTTGCGAGGCAAGGTAACAAACTTTGGATTGGCCAGAGCCGCGGCATTTGAGGAGAATGAGAATGGAGACGGAGGAGCATCACCATTAACAAGGCACGTCGTCGGGACATATGGGTATATGGCTCCGGAGTACGTAGAGAACGGACTCATTACTCCGAAACTCGACGTTTTCGCATTTGGCGTCGTCCTACTGGAGCTTTTGTCAGGGAAGGAAGCTGCTTCGAGGGACGAATTACTCTTCACAATGATCAACACGGTTCTTGAAGGTGACAACGTAAGGGAAAAGCTGCGAGCTTTCATCGACCCTTCGTTAGCTGACAACAACGAGTACCCCTTGGATCTTGCCTTCTCCATGGCTCAGCTCGCCAAAGGATGCGTTTCCGTCGACCTCAACGCTCGGCCATCAATGCCTCAGGTTTTCATGATTCTGTCCAAGATACTCTCCTCGTCATTGGACTGGGATCCTTCCCACGAGCTCCACCAGTCTTCCTCTGTTTCTGGATCTATCAGAAGCGGGCGATAAAATGTACACTACCCTACTACCTGTAGCCGCCCGCACCATATCCTCCGCCACTTGTGCTACAGTGCATATGGGGGAAGTTGCAAGCTTTCTTTTTTCAATCAATTCGATTTAGAGATTGGAAGAATATATAAATTAGGGGACAGAGATAAAATAAGGAGAGAGCAGATGGAGGTCTGTAGGGAGGCCGGAAAACGACGCGAACTCTGCGGCTTGATGCTTCGCCTCCTCCAAGCTGTACTGTCTGTCGCTGTCTTAAAATATTGTATGGATGTATGTACGTCTTTGTCTTTGTCTTGTTATAATATGGAGCAAGCAACCCAACTACTACTCTACTCTTGTCCTCTGTTTTTTGCAACAAACAATTCCTCCCGAGACCCTGATTCCTATTCCTCTCCCGACTGCTGCGGCGCTCGGGGCCACCAATTATTACCGTGTTGTTGCAGGGTAGCTCGATTCGCCGATCTGGTGAAAAAGAACAGAGCTTTACTTCTCGGCGGCCGGGCCCGGCAATTATGGACAGAGCAGCATTTGGCGGCGGCGGAGGGATGTACCCGTACGAGAATGGAGTGGTGATGACAAGAGACCCGAAGCCGCGGCTGAGGTGGACGGCGGATCTTCACGATCGTTTCGTTGATGCTGTTACCAAGCTGGGTGGCCCTGAAAGTAAACCCAACTGCTACTTTCTTCTCCCGTCTTTTTCTATCTGTTCTTGGTTCAGCATTGACTTAGTTTGGAAGTTTTTGGTTTTTCTTTTGTTCATTACAGAGGCGACGCCCAAGTCAGTTTTGAGATTGATGGGGCTGAAAGGTTTGACATTGTACCACTTGAAGAGTCATTTACAGGTGATCACTGATTTTCATTGAGAATGATTGGTTGATTGAATAAATCTCTTCTAGGTATTTAGGCAATAACTTCAATGCTATGAATTGTGTGTGCAGAAGTACAGGCTGGGACAACATGCGAAGAAACACTGCGACAGCCCGGAACAGAGCACCAGAGAGATTCATACTCATAATGGTTTGTATACGCCTGCCCGCTTCTCTTTTAATTTCTCAGGACTAGTGGTCTAGTACCTTTCTCAATCCTGATTCGTTTAGGAAATAGCGAAATGAATTCCTTTGTCATCTCAAACAAAGTTCTTTCCTTTTTCTTTGTTGTGGTTGATTTGTCTGTAGGATCTTCTCCATACATACATTTCAGCAACCATTCCTCCGGTGGTGGAGCAGCGAGTACCGCTTCTTCCATTTCGTCCAGAGATGCTACTGAACCAGGGTATGTCAGTATGTTAATCATCCTTGCATTATTAGTTGGATCCTTTCTTCTTTTGTTCTCCTCATGGGAAATGGAAGTAGTAGTAGTCTACAAAATCTAGTTGCACACGGCAAGAAATACCCCGAAGCAATTGTAGAAATTGAGAGAGAAGGAAAGATGTGGGGTTGCTGAATTAAGGAAATAGATTCCCTTTAGATCTATGAATATTGGCAATGGTTGGTGGAAGGAAGGAACTTTAGCTTAGTCTAGATGCACTTAATGTACAGAAACATGTGTTGACTTTGTCCAGATCCAGCCCATGTTCTCATTTCCCTTCTACCAGGGGCAACTGATGATTGAATGTTTTTCAATGTTTTTGGGAGCAGAGAGCTCCAGATCACGGATGCATTGAAATCCCAGATAGAGGTCCAGAAAAGACTACAAGAACAGCTTGAGGTAGGAAGAAAAAACTGTTGTATCCTTGTTCTGGTTCCCACAGGGAGGAAAAATGGAAGATTGGTGATTCAGCTCAAAGCTATTTTCCCCCCGAAAACTATTGCAGGTGCAACAGAAGCTGCAGGTGAGAATAGAGGCACAAGGGAAGTACTTGCAAGGGATACTGGAGAAAGCACAGAAAAGCTTAACCATGGCGATGACAACGGGCAGTGGCGGCAATGTGGACGTGGCGAGGGCCCAATTAACCGACTTCAATCTGGCCCTATCCACCTTGATTCACAACTTGAACTCGCCATCATCAGAAGTGGAAAGGAAACTCCGCGACTTACAGCAGCAGCAAGAAGAGGAAGTTGATGGTATGAAACATCTGTACATTAACACGAAGCCGCATCATCATCACATGAGTTTGGAAAGTAGCTTCCACGTGGACAGATCATCTGGGGCACTTGAAGATGAGGAGAATGATCTCAAGTTGGATATGGAAGATGGAGTCGGCGGAGTGCATTTCGACTTGAATGCCAATGATGGTGGTGGCGGCATTAGTGGCTATTCTAGCAGAAACACTCTTGTTTCTGCTAATACCAACAGTATTAGTAGTAGTCATGGGTCTGAGTTGGAACTAAGGATGCTGCCTTATGGATTATAATATTCAAAAATTTATGAAGATTGGATGGAGAATTGCAGGGAAAGTAGAGATAATTTATATTCCAAGAGCCATCTAATGCTAATTGCATAGTCCAACGTTCATTCATATATACTGTGAAGCAATGCAGAGGTCAGACAGTGAATCCGAGCTCTTACTCCTTCCTTCTAAGTTCTAACCCTCTTTTATATCAATGTATCTTACAGAACGAACCCTCTCTACATGTAATGTGTATTCTTCCAGTAATATTTTTTCATAGTCTTATTCATTTGGGGAAAGTTCTGCTAAAACATACATTCACAATAGGCGACACGAATTCCTTTGATTCAGCTAGTGAGAATCCATTTCGATGAACTTGAAGGCGAGACAAGAGAGAGTTTAGTCGGCTGTGCACTTCTTCACATCTGCAACAGCTAGAGCAGAATTTATAGCCGATCAGGTAGTGTTCAGGATAATCAGCTTTTCAGTGTCAATTTTACATGAAGTACCGTTAGATTTTTGGGGTCATGAACAGATTGGTTACTCAAACTTTGAATCTTTTACGATTTTGCCATACGAGTTTGGATTAATTAACAAAACAGTTAATTTGTCGTCCTATCACCTTCAAGTTTTTCGTCTATTGCCCTGAATAGTGTGTCAACACACCCAAATTAATAATGAAAAGGGTCACATAGCTCTCAGAGTGTCTATTATGTTAGCTATTTCATACTTTAATCTCCATGTTTGTATCCCATTTATTTAATTGACTCAGTGTTATAGAAAGAGGTATCAGACAGATTACCTTTATTGTTTCATACAAGCTGGACTACGGCACCTATTCTTAAGGCCCCATTTTGCAGAAGCTCAGCGAGTTCATCGAAGAACAAAGCTGTCCTCCAACCCCATCCCTTGGGAGCCTTCGGGAGGAGGGTGCCTCTTTGTTTGAAGCTTCCAAACAACATGATTTCTCTCTTTGATGGACAGATCAACTGAAACAAAAAGGGAAATGGAGCCACAGCAGCAGGTAGAAATAAGAAATTTTCAATCAGCAGTTTTCCTTGGCAGAGATCGTTAAAAATTGTCCATGGAGAGTTACCTGATAACGGGCAGTAACTTTTTCGCGTGTGTCAACATACATATGAACCTGAAACCAGTGTGGATTCAATGCATAAAAAAAAAGGATCACAAACTTGAACCATCATAATGACAGTTTTCGAAATGCTTTCAAACTTGGATGACTAATCAGTTGTGTTCAGCTGCAATAACTCGCAAATTTAATCAGTTTTGCTAACCTTCCTAAGTGAATCAGAGATCTCTGCCTTTCGCCGATGAAGAAATAATCCTGAAATGTTAAGCAAATAGCAAATAAGGTAGAGATAGTAACATGTACTTTTCACAATTGAACTATGACATGGCCCAAGCATATTACCAAGAGTTCGGCGCCCTTGAGGATCTTCATCATTGAAAGCTTGAACACTAATCTGTGAAAACAACAGAAAGCTTACAAACTTCAGCAACTAAGAAACACAAAGAAGCCAAAAAAAACAAGGAATTTACAAGCATTCAGACGGTATGTATCTTATTACCTTCCACAGAGAACCTGCATAAAAGAATTCAGGAGAGTGCTTCACTTGACCGTCAGTTAGACGAAGCACATCTGGAAACTCAACCCTGGGGAAAGCGGTGAACCATATCTATTATTCATTTTTTCATGTTCATAAAACTAAATCCCAACCGTGGGAAGTGGCTTATACATCATAAGCAAAGGACTAAATGGTCTCACCCGAACCGGAATGGAGGGAAATGACTCAAAGGTGTGTTCATATCCAACGATATGGAGGAATCATTAGCATTCGCCCATTCAATTCCAATGGCATGTTCAGGTGAATCTAGCACCTGAAAAGCTATACCACTGCCACCTGGTGCAGAAGTAGATATCCTGTCTTCCATATCTGTCTCATATACTCTCTCAGTCTGTTGACTGTGAATGTTAGAACTGCTGCTCCCTCCCTGGGTCAACCCAACCAGAGCGGTCAACCCATCACCAGAGAGGTCCCCATTGTGGTTGGTTCTACTCTCCGAATCGACATTTGGAAGAGACTGCTGGCAATTTCTATTGCCGACACCGAAGGGCACACGAGAAAAGACGAAACGGGTAGGAGGCCATGCGGTTGCCGGCACAACTGTAGTTCCACGCCCAATGCCCGCAAGTCCATCATTAGGTCCCCGAACATGAACACGAACCGGTCTAAAGACACTGCTGCCCCCAACCTGAGAAGAATCAGTGACATACACATTCCCCATATTGACAGGAGAATTGTTGTGTTCATGCTCTTGCATGTAGTAACCTGTGGTAGTTACACCACGTGAAAAGCCATATTGCTGTCTGCAAGTGCATGACATGCTGGTAAAGCAGCACATTTTACATGTATCAGCACCAATTTCCTGCACTCTCTGGCTTAAAAGCATCTGCAAGGGAGCCATCGTTTATAAGAAAGCGATAAATTAGGGATACACTCATAGCACATTGTAATGAAAGAAAGCAAATGGTAACATTTATTGATCTTGCCCTCAAATTAAAATGCAAGAGGTAAGAATAACTACGAAGGCAGTCAGCCGAAAAATGGATAAAGTTAAAAAATTCCATTTTAATATCTTTAAATCAAATTATTCCAGTAACAAACCTGCAGCCAAAGGGCATCGTTGACTGCTTTGCATGGAAAGCCTAACTCCTCAAGCTGCTTTCTTACGCTCAAAAGTGCCTCAAACGACATATTGCAATACAGAAGAGAGCCACCTTCAAATATGTTAACAAATGTATCATAGTCCTCCCCATGAACACCACAATTCCCTTTAGCATAACTCTTGACTGGCCTTTTACCCACAACTCTTCCACCCCATGAAAGGGAAGTCATGCCACACCGTCCCCAATCGTTAACCATAAGCCCGCTACAAGAAGGATCCACTGAAGGGATATTCCCAGATTGGTCACTTCCAAGCCAATTGTTGTTATTCAACTGGTACGACCCGTCCCCAGAAGGACCCTCCGTAGAAAATTCACTTGCCCCAACACCCATGGGCATATCAAGGAAAGAGCATGAGGTTGTATTTCCATTTATTTCTGAAAAGGAGTTGCCCACGGGAGATGATTGTGAGATGCTGCAAGACGGTATAGATCCCATTCCCATGTTAGCTTGTGAAAATGAAACCCGTGGCCCTAGTTTGGATTCAGCAAGCCTTGCCTGAAAGTCGACCTCACACTCAACAAGATCTACCAGAAGATTGTGTGCCATATTTTGAACTTGTAGGTCATCTTTCAAACTCAAGCGTCCAAGTCCTGGTTCCAAACTCTTAGTGCTGCTATCAATCGATTCTTTGCCCTTCAATTTGGATGAATCAGTGTGCATACCCATACGCATTTCGGTACTTGATCTGCCTTGGTCTGAACTTTCCGTCTGAATAAAAGTACCTTTTGCCAGAAGTGTGCACAGTGCTAGTTCATACCTTTGAACAAGAAAGAAACAAGTTAGCCAACTAAACACACTACAAGATATGAAAAGGAACTTAATCTGTTACTAATATCCCTTACCGTTTCTCTTCACTGACTACCCACAGTTCATCAGATGTCAACAAGGCATGCAGAGTTTGAGGGGAAAGTTTTGGAAGCACCTAAAAGGAATGCATAGGAAACAAATTAGAACTGCCTCATTAAAATAAGGAATTACTGAGCGTCCTGCTTTGTTCCCTTGCCCTATTGCCCTTTTCACCACTCTTTTTACAAACAACACCACAAGTCAACTACTTGCTTGAGGGCCTCAAACCCAAAAGGCTCGTGCCCTAGACATTTTAGTATTTTACCTCTTTCAGTTCCACGGCTCCACTTTGACAAAGATATCCCCAGCAAGCATTCCTTACTTTTTCTCCATATGATCCATAATCTTGGCTCTCAGCAAATACCTGAAGCGCATGAACATGTGTCTCCATATCTAGAAGAAAAAAAATGAAGAATGGGAATGCATAATACAATGTGAGAGCATTTGAACCTGATACGCCAAGAAGTTTGAACTCCAAAGTTCAGAGATAATGAAGTCTGTACATATTGCACACAAATCCTGCACATAAATCATGATTCGTTACACATCCAAAGTAAGACCAACAGAGATCACAAACCCAAAGAAGTTCACAACGGGACACTTATGGTGTGTATGTTTGTACTTTTTCTTCAATTGGGGAACTTTTTCTGAAGTTTGGGTTAAGGAAATGTGAGATCTAACTTGCCTTCTATAACACATTAATTAATACCTGGAGGTCAAGAAATGAAGCAGCTGCCAGGACACGAAACGCATTGCTGTCGTTAAGCTTTGGATGATGCCCGTACAAATAAGCCAAGGCAGCGGCAATTGCATCAGCATTTACATTCTTATCATCTACATTCAAGTTCACAACAGGAGAACTCGCTTCTTTCCAAGGACCATGTAGCATGTTCCTGCCAGTAGCATCACAATCAAAAGTTATATAAACTTCAAACCGAGAGTAACAACATGCATTTCTATCCAATCAGGAACGAAGCTACCAAATCAGCCCTTAATTCGTATAACTCAGAAAATGGATATACAACATTCAGTTCTCCATACTAGACTACTTGCACTCCAGCTTTGCACTACATTCAAACAACCAGGTAGTATCCAGAAGACAAGTTCGAAACTTCTGGCATCCCAAGCATCCTTTAACTGAATTCCTGGTCATATACGCAGGAGTACCAGTTCAAATAAATTCCCATTTCCTCCTAATCGGAACTTCTCGCGTTTCCACCCACTGTTCCACAGACCATGACAGCTACAAACATAACCCAATTGAAACAAACGGTTGAGAGAGCAGTGGGGAGCAAAACCTGAAGTAGGAGCTTCGAGAGAGGATAAGCCGGTGGAGGTGATATGTGGAGCCCATAGCATGAACGACGACATCGGAGAAGGCGCCGGAATTGAAACCCTCCATCTGAATGTGATCACAGAGGGAATTGAGGTTACAATCCAGCGCCCGGAGTTCCCCGCTCGTCCGGCCATCGTCGGAATGCTGCGCCGCCGCCGGCGATGGCTGAAGCGTCACTTTCACTTGGTGGTGGTGCCCGAACGAGCGTGGATTCCCGTTGTTAGGGCATTGCGGTTCCATTGCTGCCACTGCTTCCAAGGTTTTACCTTACCGCTGTTCTTCAGCTTCAACTGATTTTAATGAAGATCAACAAATGGAGAAGAAAGCGGCCAAATTTGCCGATGACCATTTGATCAAATTTTCTGTCTCCATATGGCAGGGGGAAAAAATCGGGCTTTGTTTATCAATCAGTCAAAATCAAATCCACTGTTTGATCGGAGGAGCAGATTTGCGAGAGCCGAAAGACGAACGAGAGTTGCCTAACGACGCCGTTTCCCGAGCGTTCTCCCACTTGCCCTTAGTTGCGGTTCGCTTCGCGATCGGCCTTCGAGGGCGGGGCGGCGCTATTTTCATAAGTGAAAGGAAAATCAAAATGACGCTAGTTTCTGAGTTCTAAAATGCACGTATGTCGGGGTATCTTGGTATTATGGGTAATTAAATTGGATATTTCTATTTAAATGGATTTAGAAAATTCAGAAAGACATTTTATTTTTTTAGTTTTCTTAATTCATTTTTACCTTCTTGGTTCTAACATGAATTCAATTTTTTTTCATTGATGAAACAAGTACGTTGTGTTTTATAAAATGAGATCATTTTTCAATATTTTTTTGAGGAATTTTTTTCATACCTTTCGTTACCAACTACATATCATATGGTATCTCCTTAGTTTTTAAGTCGTTTTTTAAAATATTTGAATAGAAGGAACGAGTTCATCAAGATCTATTGTATCTACAATTTTATGGAGTGAAAAAAATACAGGACAAAAAAATATCATACTATACCACCCTGGTATGTGGGGTGGTAACTTGTGGTACGCAATGATGAAAGTCGTAAATGACAGTTAATATACTCCTACTGTTATGTATTTAACCATCCTACAAACTTCCATATTCATACCACCATGGTACGCTTTCATACCATATAGTATGCTCTTATTTAATACCTGTCAATACCATATGGTACAGACTCGTAAAATATGTCTCAGTTTTTTATTTATTCTAGAAATATATCAAAGTGAATATCATTTTGAAGAGCATAATTAATCTGATATTTGTGTGCAAAAAAAAATTAAATTTGAACTTAAGATGAGAGAGAAATCGTTCGTTGATTTTTTTTTTATCCAAGATAAGCCCCCAGGGCATGGCCGAACAACAAATATACAAAACTGAAAATAATAAAGAACGGTAGCCCGTATGCAACCGGACTCCCGATAAAAGAGTCTTTTTTGCCACGAGGTGGGCACCTCTATGAAAGCTCGGAAGAGCAAAGACGCGAAACTGACACAGAGAGTTGAGAAGAGAGAAAGAACTTCCCTTAAAATATCTCCGACTTTAGAATGGGAAGACCTCCTCGATGTAGCATCCTGATGACCGGTTGAGAATATCCTCGAGAGGTAACAACCAAACATTATGAGTAAGACCATTTCTCGTAGTAATAGAATAATAAATTTTATCAAAAGCAAATGAGACAGTTCCATCACCTGAAAATCTGGCAAAGTCAGTTTGCACATCCGTGAAGATTCTTTGTGGCCCAATCAAACCGAATCAATATACTTTTGCTAGGGCAGGTTATATCTAACCCCAAAAAAGCATCCACTGTGATGCTAGAGATCTCTATCTCAATAGATTAAGTAGTGCCCTTTAGGCATAGGCGACATAACTGAATGTAAAATATCAATTGTATAATTCATAAAATGAAGTACAATAGATCTCCATTAGTAGATGGGTCCGAATTACCCAATATACAATATTCTTAAAAGGGAATTACCAAATATAATGAAATAAAATTTCTATCAAACATTAAGAGGAAGAGGAAATGAGACCACTAAATATGGACGATTAATTGCTACACAATAATGATGATAATAATAAAGCAAATTAAAGGGGAAGTAACTACCAGAGAGGCAAAAGCCAATTAATTATTACTCTTCTAATCAGCAATAATTAAGAAAATAAATAAATTAGTAAATAGGAATCCAAAACTTACCTCGTAAGTCAACAAGTGAGACATCATCGGAGGAAGGAATTTAAATTAAAAAGAAAAGTTACGTACGTGGCACCGTAAGTCTCGCCTCGGAGCTAAATTCGGAGACAAGGCGAACTTTGAAGGCGGCGTCCGGAGGAGAGCCTGGAACCCCAGGGCTCCGATCGCCACCACATCTTAACCCAAATCCGGATATTTCGCCGGTGAACGCCTACCATCCTGTAAGGATGTTGATGTCATGCTGATGTGGACGAGTTACTCACCATTACTCAACATAAGGTTACTGACCGGATCGAGACCCTATGTCTGGGCAAGGTTTGTGGAAACGGATTCTACAGTTGGGTTTGACAAGTAAAATGGTATGATTGATAGTACAATCAGTTTATTTCGGTGTAAATAGAGTACTTAGAAAATTGGTAACTAATAGTAAACAATTGGATACTTAAAAAATAAAAATATATAAAATAAATTTTATTAATATTTGCAATGATTTATGTAAAATATAACATTAGCTATATAATATATAAGATTAATATGTATAATGAAGTTTCTTGTATCCTATTGGTATATAAAGCAAACTATTAAACATGAGGTATTTGGTTCAATCTCATGATGGGAGTTTATTTTTGCACGAAATGTGTGAAAATATATAAGACCAGTTTCTCGTCTAACCAAACGATGTTTTAGGTTTTGTTTGAATTTTATCGAGAATGAATAAGTCGGTAAACGGTAAGTCGACTATCACTCTGTACCGATTGGCGGCTGCCATTTGGGATGTCTCGATATATTTATAATCGGTTGCCGGTTAAACCAACTGCTTACTACCTGTAGATCGTATTAGCACACTATTATTTTTTAATAGTTATTTATATTTTGTAAACATACACTCCTTGCTCAGTAGCAAAAACGTCGAACTCCAACGCATAAAACATGATTGTCATGTCGATTACATGTCTGCCGGTAGAACCAGATTCAACTAGTACCAGTTATAAAATCGGATGGAATGACTATGGTATGACCGACATGATCAATTTTCAACGTTTAAACAAAATGACACCGTTTTAGTGAATTTAATTGATAAAAAGGTATTTTGATTTGTTTCTTGAATTAAAAGTTAAATGATGATGTTATTTTTTGGATTCAAGTATGAATGTTTAGATGTTTATGTTATTTGTTGTATTCAATTATAAATTTTTGGATATTGATGTTAAATATTGTATTTGAATGTGAGAATTTTTCATTGGGTTTAGAATGTTGTATTTTTATTTTTATTTAAATATAAATTTATTTTATAGAAATTATTTTCAAATATGTATATATATGGTGGCGTATTCGGTGCACCCACTTTTTTGGGTGCACTCAGTGCACCCGCCTCATAATTGCCATTCTAACCATGCGATTCATGTCAAAACGGTATCAATTGTTTCTTATGATATTATGAACAAGAAGCACATGAATTTGAAAAAAAATTCATTCAAAATTTACTTTAATTTGAAGGATTTAGGATTTAGGGATTTAGGTTTAGGATTTAGGTTTACAATTTGGGATTTTGGATTGGGATTCAAAATTGAAGGTTAAGGGGTTAGAGTAATTGATTGATTTGTTATGATTCTATGTCATATCATCATATTAGATTGAGAGTACTAATTAAAGTTCAAAATTTGATGTAATATGGACACTTTTAGAGTGGGTGCACTGAGTACACCCAAAAAAGTGAGTGCGCCGAAGTAGCCACCGTATATATATATTTAAAGTCCATAACCATAAATCGATAGTACTACCAATTAAACCATACCACTTACCACACCGAGGAAATAGTATGAACTCGTTTGTTTGAGTCTTTGAGATCAGACAACCCTGCATAAAATGATAAAAAACGCTTTCGAATCCGGTCCAGGAAAAAATGGGGGAAAATCGAAAAAGGAAACCAAAAAGTATACCCAATTAAAAACAGAGAGACTCGCGACGTATTGACGTAAGCTTTGCTTGTGGCCGGAGGAGAAGAAAACGCCGAAAGCCGAAAGCCGAAAACCTAAAAAAGGAGGCAGCTTTCGCCATTGTTCCTCCCTTCCTTCATTTGCTTCAGATCAATAGCGGTGGCCGGCGGATGAGGTATTCGTCTAATCTTTGATTTCCCACGGAAACCTAGCAAAGTTCCGAACTTGGTGTGAATCTCGCGCTCGCTCTCCGTAGGGTTTGGGCTGCTTTCTCTTCTTCTCGGGTTTCCGGGGGGAACCCTAGCTGTAATGTTTTCCCCCGGGAAATGAATTTATGCAGATGGGATTTTGAGATTCCGAGGGCTTTTATGATATTGGGATGCCAACAATGGGCTACGTGAGTGGCGGTGATAGGAAGCGGGATTTGTACTCTTCCTTCGCGCCGTCGTTCTCCCCGGATTCTTTTCCGACATCGAAGAGACCCAGAATTTCGCCCACGCGTCACGCCCCAGGACGGGCAACGGTGACTTTCAATAGTACCGTCGACAAACTATTCCGGTACCCCGAGAGGACGACGAAGCTGCCCCGGGAAGTCCACGCCCCTTGTAGGATTTTGAAATACGGGTTGGGCGCTCCTCGGGGTAAATCTGGTGGTGTGGGGAAGGTCGAGATGTTGTCTTCCGTGTTCGATTATGCGAGGAGAGCGGCAGTTGGAGCTCTTAGGTTTATTAGGATAGACAAGGAACTACCTAAAGTGGATGAGCAACCTGTGAATCCGAGTAACCATGTCTTGCTGTCTGATGATTTAAGTATGGAAGAAGTTCAGGTCACTGATGACAATGATGAAAATGGTGTTAGGTCTATGGTTTTGGATGAGCCAGTGAATGAGCAGGAGAATGATGATGTTAGGATTGTGGAAGAGCGGTATGTGGTTACTCCAGAACGAAATTTGTCGGTGGAGAAGACTAGGGAGATGGTGGATTCTTTGGCTTTGGACCGAAGTGGTTTGTCCGTTGAGGTGTATAAGAAACTCTTGGATGGTGCCCAGAGGAGAGACCCAAATGTGTTGCAGCCTCAGATTGAATACTATGAGAAGAAGAGGGCTTCATTGCAGGTCTTACGGTCTATGAGAAAGCCGTTGGAAAAACCTGTTCAGGTCAGTTTGTCAATCTTTTGCCATGATGATTGTTTTTCGGGTCTTCAGAGTGCTGCTCGTGAAATATTTGAACTTTGTTTTTCTTTCAGAGAGAGCCTGTAAATGCTTGCCGAATCTTACTGCAAATGTTGCTTATGTTGTTTAAGTAACAATTTTGCCATTTCAGGAGACACCTCGTGAACCTTTTATACCCCTTACGAAGGAGGAAGAAACTGAAGTGAAGCGTGCACTCTTACCTAACAACAGGTACCCTATTGATCTTTTGTTCCTTTTGATATTTCATGATCTGGGGGGTGCCCTAACTTCGTTTCCATGTTTGATGATAGGAGGAAGCTCTTAGTTGCTCACACTAATTCAGGCATCGACATCACAGGAGAGGTATTGCAGTGCCTCTCACCAGGTGCCTGGTTAAATGATGAGGTATGATTTAATCCTTATCAGGTAGTTTGTTGTTGTGTTCTTAGGAGGCTTATATACATTATATCAACTTTCTCTTTTGCAGGTCATCAACGTCTACCTGGAGTTGTTGAAAGAAAGGGAGAAGCGAGAGCCACCAAAATTTCTGAAATGTCATTTCTGTAACACCTTTTTCTACAAAAAGGTTTGTGCTTTAGATCCTTGTACTCGATTAGCAGAACATGGGGAGAATGTCTTTCTACTAGGGGGGAAACAGCATATAGGCTGCACAAAGCACTATCTTGTGGTTAAATGATCAGGCATTTGCCGTCTTCTTTTCCCCTTATTGGCATCATTTTGAAGCAACTGGATCTGTCCCAAGTTACTTACTAGTATCAGAATCACCTAAACTTCTGCTATTCAATGCCTGATAAACATTTATATTGTCTTGTCTCCTCATGTACTAGTAGTATTATTACACATAGGTTTCGACTCCTCAATGCTTAATTATACCTTATGTTCGTTTTATCCATTGTTTCACGATATTCAACCATTCAACATTCCCTTTGCTTACATTGCTTCTTCTGGTTGTAGTAAATTTAGTGTATATTATCAGTTATCACTTATGCAGGTTCTGTCTTCTTTTGTTTGTGGAATGTGCATCATGTCCAGTTACTAGGTGGTGATAAGAAAGTGTATGACTATAGAGCTGTGAAAAGGTGGACTACAGAACGGAAATTGGGTTACATGCTGGTCGACTGTGAAAAAGTAAGTTGACTACAGAACTCAACTCTCTATTTTGCTTTGCATAGTCTCATGTGCTCCGATAGCACTTAATTAGTTACCTTTCGCTTGGGTTGATTTTTCTAATTGACAGATATTTATCCCCATTCATCGAGAAATTCACTGGTGTTTGGCCATTATTAATAAAAGGGACCGGAAATTTCAGTATCTAGATTCACTCAAAGGGAGGGACTTGCACGTGCTGAAAAATCTGGTAGGTTAGGATAATTTCCAGCAAACTCTTTGTGTACACTTTGCGAGAATAGACTGACATTTATGACCTTGTGCAGGCTAGATATTATGTTGATGAAGTGAAGGACAAGAGCAAAGTAGACATCGACTTAAGTGAATGGGAATACGAGTTCCCTGAAGACCTGCCCGAACAGCTAAACGGGTATTCATATCTCAGAATCTCATTGGCACCCAAAAAATCTGGTCTCTAAACTGGTCTAAGATTCCTTTCTTTCTCTTGCGACAAACAGGTACGACTGTGGAATGTTCATGATAAAATATGCTGATTTTTATAGCAGAGGCTTAGGCCTTTGTTTTTCCCAGGTAATAAAGAGACTGTCTCAGCATATTATGAATACAATAAACCTGCCACTTTTGTAGCATCTCCAAGCTTATCTTCTGTTACTTCTTCCCAGGAAAACATGCCGTACTTCCGGCTGAGGACTGCCAAGGAGATCCTTAGACTGAAGGCCGACTGATGAGGTCAGCAAACACGAGCGACAGCCAATGAGAATGCGACAGGCGGCATCATAACTTAAGAGACGAGTTTTATCGCAAAGTGTGCAAATAGTAGGTCTTCCATGCACTTTCAGGTATCAACGGAAGTGCCCTAGGACCAGCGTGTGAATACTCCCCCGGCCAACAACCTTGTTTGGTTACACAGATTATCGCCGCCCGAATGGGTAGTAGCGATCTAGTTCGGATTCGTATTCCGTTGCAAGGCAAGATATGGTTGCAGACCGTTTGTGAGAAGTGGTAATGTTGTTTTCTGGTGCCTATTAAATCCCTGCCAAACGCTAGAGTAGTACTTAGTTCTATAAACTCTTTCACTCCCTCTTTTGAATCTTTTTTGGGGCGTCTATATAATATGCAGATTCTTTTTTGTTTCTTCATTCTGTTGATTGTTTAGATTTCAAACTTTCAATGGTAATTTTTGGAGAGCTGTCAATCCCATTTGCCCGTCATTGGTTTGTAATTTTGATCAAGAAAAAATGGATCATCGATGGAGTTGACGTGTTTGTAAAACGATACCATATCGTTTCGTGTTTCGACAGTGTAATAGGAAAAATAGAATCTTGGAGTTCAACCAGGTAGACGATTTAGCGACCTGATTGAACCTCAAATAATAACAGTTTTAGCACAATTGCATTTGGTTCAAATTGGATGTCCAGTATGGAAGAAAAAAAATACGCAAGGTGAGAATTGAAGGTAAGATATATTATGAACAAATGCAAGTTTACTTTCAAGTAAATTGTATATCACCTATTGAGCAATTTTCTTTTCCTTTTTCATTTCACTTTGCTTACACAAGAATCCACTGTTTCTGTGTTTTCCCCCCTTCTTTCGTTCCCCTTTTCATTCACCCTTCAAATATCGCAAGACGACGAAACCCAGAAAAACAAAAAACCAACTTAGCAACAACGCCAGCATCCAGCCTGTTCTGAATGATACATTTGCAACCACAACCATCCCACCAACAAAAGGAACACCACGCCATTCCTGCTGCCCGCGCGTCAGATTCCCCGAGTAAGCACCGCAAGCGATGCTCCGAGTCCGCTCCTGCAACATTGAAGTGTTGATTAAGCCAAAAAGAGAATGTGGGGGGAATAAAGAAAATGGTGTTGGAGCTCGGGATTGTATATGTACTTGATGGAACTTACGAGAGACAAGAATTCAGATCACACACCAAACAGGGTACTGCGTCTCTAGCGAGGAACTCGTTTGCGACTGAGGATCTCCTGCTCCTTCAGCCGATGCTGGAACCTAGCGAGGCGAGCTTGGAGGCTAACCAGGCCGGCGGCCTTACGCGAGAGAACGAAGCTCAGCTGAGTTACGTAATTGTCTATGAGGCTGCCTGGCTGGTCAACTTCTGCCAAAAGCTTCATTTCCTAAATAGTAGTATCCCAAGCAGGTGAATGAGACACGAGTGTAACAATAAGGTGTTTGCTTTGGGGGAAAAAACCTTAAAACAAGATTTCTCTGTATCGTTCCAATTTTATCGGATGTCCCCGAAGAGACCTTAGAACAAGATTTGACATGAAGGTTAACACACGTTTTCTTCACTTCTACTTTACTTTAGGAAGTTGCTTCTTATAAGCAAAAGCCGAGCGAAAAAAACACGCCCCAACTCCCTAAGCAAAGAAAAGGCTGCACGATGACATATGACAAATCATCACTTACCTCACGCACGATCTCCATTGTATCCTCAATCTCTTTCCTATGTGCAGCAATTAGAGCCTCTTCTTCCTAAAACAGGCCAAATGTAAGAATTAAGAACTAGAAGATGAAGACGCTAAGAAAAAATGCAAGTAAACAAAAACCAGGAATTCATCTGCTCACCTCGAGTATAGCATTGATACTCCCATCTGAAGAAGGATCAGATTCTCGATGTCTTCGTCCAATTGTGGGGAGGTTTGTTGTACTACTGCTATCTTTCTTGGAATTTACAGTGGTAGGTACAACATCAGATGTACCACCGCTATCTTTCTTCCCCCAATTTGTAGACTTGTCGGCCTTCTCCTCCCTCGAGGGTCCTTTTCTACGAGGCGGTGATACCTTCTGCACTTTTTCTTCAGGTTCGGCTGGGGGCTGGGAGTATGATGTATAGCTTTTTGCATTTGGTTGACCGCCAGAGGAATTGTTAAATTCAATCCTCTCCCGGTCAGTTAAGCTGGAAGTTGATCCACTTTCTTGCTGTCGGCCATTGAAGTTATAACTTGAAGGGAAACTCGACGGCTGCCTATCATGATCTTCTTTCTCTATGTGTCTTCTCACCATATCCACCGGTTTTGCCTCTTCTCTCTGTTCAAACATGTCGTCTGTGTCTGTGGGAACAGCCAAAGATGCTGATGGCATGTCCTTGTTAGTCGATGAATTTACAGGTTGATCCTTTTTCGTATTGCCACTTTTGGAAAGGCTTTTGACCCTGTTCATTCAATGACATTATTATTAGACCATTCAATTGAGATTATTATATCTTACTTCGCGCAAGCAATAAAGAGTTTTCACTTACCTATCAGCATATCTCAGTGTATTCAACGTGTGTTCACAGGAACCAGCATTTGGAGAAATACACGATATCATAACTGTCCTCGAGTTACCAACAAAGGAATCGCGAAGTACTTCAGTGAGCTTGCTCCCACGGAAAGGTATATGGATCTGTTCATTGTCGAGTGCACGAATGCACTCTTTAAGAGCCAGAAGGCTCTTGTTAATTTCTGCACCTTCAATCCTGCAATTTAATCAAAACATTATTATAAGTTAACCAGGATGAAACATACGAAACCAAAGCAAGATGAAAAGGTGAAGCAAGAACAGAATAGTACCGTGTCTGTCTGTCATTATCTGTGGTGTCTGCTCCTCGTTCACTACCAGCAAGATCGATAAACGAGATTTTGCCAACCAACTTTCCATTTTTTGGATCATTAACATCAATGTTGTTGTTGGTGTTCCTTCTAGTTTCTTTTACCTCTTTATGCTTCTTGATAGCAAGTTGCAATATAGCATGCGATCTTGAAGATTCCTCATTGGCACCTGTGGATCCTGTGCTTCTTGAAGCATTTCCCTTCTCAATGTACTCCTTGACTATTTGCACATCCAAGACCTCGAATTCTTGTAGACCAACAATGCAAACCTGTTGTCTGCCATCTTCTCTCATACAGAGCTTCCTATTTGGCAACGAGGGAAACCACAAGCATTATGTAAGCAGTTCAAGATACATATACATAATAGAACAAATTAGTATGAACATCACAACCCTTCTCATCTGGTCGCGTGATTTAAAGGCCATTTCAATTATATTCTATATGGCATTAAGGTGAATATGAGAATGGGATTACACCTCCAAGAAATACTCACTTTCTTTCAGAAAGAAGATCATAGAGCTTCCCTCCATAAATTTCAAAATAACTGAGCCACAATTTGAACCTCTGGGACCGGTAAACTGGCTGGTACAGTAATCTAACCATGTCTTGAGCAGCTCTAAGAGGCAAAGGTTGCATCGTGTAAGTCTTTCCACTACCTGATAAGATTGTTATTCATATGATGTTATATATGATGCAATTTGAACTACAAACCTTTGTAAGAAAAGAAAACTATAATATAATACAACCTAAGCTTAACAGATCCTAAAGTGAAAGTCTCAGCAAGTTAAGAGACGACTCTCTTATAGAAATGACATTGCTCCTAACACCAGCTTTTGCCCCATCTATGTATATATATGAACCAAATATATTATCCTAGATCAACTATAAAGATACATATGATGCAGTTTGTGTCCAAAAAGACATATACTAATAAAAAACAGTACCTGTTTGGCCATATGCAAAACAAGTAGCTTTCGTCTTCTCGAATATTGTGGGAATTATGGGCTCGACGGTTTCCCGGTACACCTGTAAAACACATTTGACCTCTAGATCATAAATACTAAAAGATTGATTTGATAACAAAGTTGTCAAGCTATTGTGCCTTAATCACACCACCATGCTCTTTAGTTCACTAGTAACTAGCATTTTCCTAATAGCCTCAATGAATACAGTTCTTGCAAGTAAAGTGAGACACTGGAACCAAAAACATCGACGTCTATCTCTAAGAGAAGAATCATTACCTTATCATTGTTAACATCCTCATCAAGAACAGCATCAAAACAGAATTCATGCTTCTCCACATATGCTGTCAAGTCCACCTTCAAATCAAAATAGATGGTCAAGTCTTTTAGCTGAAAGATAAAGTGCAATCTGAAAGATGAAATACAACGCTACTACCATTGCAATCTTCCCCCTTCAGAACAAAAGAATCTGAAGTGGTTTGGAAAACAATATTAGCCGAGGGGCAAACCTTTAGTTTGGGTTCATGGACAGTCAAGGAATTGTCTGCAACAGACACAACGTCATCCTCTTTCTTAGCAAGCTCCTTTTTGTTTAGTGGTCTTTTACGCACCTGCCGAACAGTAATCAGAACAATGTCATGACCTTCATAACAGAATCATAACTTGTCAGCAAACAAAAGTTATCAAGGGGAAAAAAAGAAGAAAAAACATGCACCAATCAGTTCACATTTGGCATAACTCAATGCCACTGAAAATATAAGAAATGGAAAGCAAAGTTCAGCTGGTGAACATGAGAGTATCATAGAGAGGCTTCCAAGTCTCTTCTTCAAGATGTTAATGGTGAAGCAAATGACAAATTCAAAAAGGAGAGGATGTAAACTACTGATTTGTTCGAACTCTACATGGCCAACAAGGAGGCATAACAAAACAACACAGTAAGGATGGATCGAATGTTTGTCTAGGTGTGTGTAAGTCTAGTAAGAGATAGATAGAGACTAAGAGAAGGAGCTACTGATAAGTCAAACTCACCACAACTTTAATCTTAGCCACGTTACTTTCCCTCCCACTGTTTTCTTTTTCACTGACAGGGAATGATACTGATGGTTCTGCATCAGTTTGCTCACTTTGATACCTACGACTAGCCATGTTGAGTTCATTCTCGAATCCTTGGCCAATATCAGGCATGATCGGTGATGTGTCAAAAGGTTCTGTCATAACATGCTGCAACAAAGATAAGAACCACACAATAACAATTCATTAGGAAAAGCAAACAAATACAAACAATCGAAGATTACCCCATTCAATAACAAATGGTACCTCAGACAGAAGCTCAGTATCGTCCATTGCGTGAAGGTCCAAAAGGCCAGCTCCAAAATCCCCCCTGAAGTCAGGGGAATAAAACCCATCTGATGCTGCAGCAGTTGAAGCTTGTGCAGTCGGTGTGTAAGGATCAGAGCCAGATTCTCCATTGAAATTAAGATTTCTCATTAGCTTAAAAAGCCTCTGCTTCTCTTCAGCAGATTGAGCTCCATAACCCTTTAGCAATGGCATAGAGTATCTCAGCAATTAATCCAAATATACAAGCAAGTGCAAAATAATCAAAATATCAGAAACCAGAAAGCAGGTTATGATACTCCAACAGCGTATCAACTAGACCAAATCCCGGCAAAACTCGATAAGTACAGGTACAGCTCAACGATCCAATTACAAAATGAAATGTTCAGATTCCTTCCCCTAACTTTGAACGCTGACTTAGCATAGACCTCGACCAAGTCATCACGTTAACAAAACGTAGAAGTATAAGCGGCGGCGAGCAAACAGAAACGGTTGATGAAGCTACCTGCATTAGGAGATTAGGCAGCGCGCGTTGATCGATGCCGGAGGAAGCCAAGGGAGATGCCAGATGCTGCAGGCCGGCCGACTGCAGCCACCGCGCCATGACAGCATCGCCGGCATCGTTTGTACCGGCCGCATTCTGCAGAGCCCCGCCGCCGCCGTGATCGTAGAACGCCGTCGCCGCTGCAGCATTGGTCTGCTGCATATGGCCACCCATGTGGCGCTGCGATCGCTTTTGCGGAGCCAACTTTCAAGATCTGTTTATCACCGCTTCGCGAACAGAAAAACCGGAAACACGAAAATCAGAAAACCAGAAGAGACAAACAGCAAACAGAAAAGAAATCGCCGACCAAAAATAAAAAGCACTCACAAGGAGGAGAAAATTCGAATCCAAACACGAACATAGAAAGAAAAAATTTCCCCCTCCTGGAATCCGATTCGTCGCTAGGAAAGAAAGCAGAGTATATTCCTGCAATCCAAACAGAACAAACGCACACAAAAGCAAAATTGACCTCCAGAATCCATATCGTTCTCACCCAAGCCAAACACAATGCGGCAAAGAAGCAGACCGAGAGTAAAGTTACCGGAGCGGGAGAGATCGAGATCTGCGCCGGCGGCGAGCGGGGAAACTCGGGAAGAGCGGGGTTGGCGATCAGATCTAGAAACGCGGGGAAGAATGATGATCGAATGCAAAAACCTAGAGGAATAGCTTGGATTTGCGGACGGAAATCACAGAAATCAAAGCAAAGCAAAAGAGAAGAAGAGGCAGAGCGGGGGCGCTAAAAGGCAAATGTGTGCATTTGGTTTTGGTTTTCGCTGGATGTGTTGCGCAGAAAGGAAGGAACTGCGAATTGGAAGAGGGAAATGAGATTTTTTTTTTCTTTTTTTTTTTCTTTGGGGTGATAGAGAAGGAATGTACGTAGAGTCGTGGACGGTGTGATTAATTTTTCGCTCTATATAATCAGCAGGCTTAAAATTAATTAATACGAAGAGAGATTAATATGACATAATAATATAACCTGTACTGTATTTGTGTCGTCTTGGACTAAAACTTAATTAGGACAAAGACAATAATACAATTAATTAGGGTAAATTACGTATGTTGTTAGTGGGAGGGGTGACTACATTAATGTGTTTTTGTGGGGCGCACATAGATTTGAACGTCGTTTGGAGGGGAATTTGGAATTTCGGAATTTTGAAGTTTATGTCAAATTGTGTTATACATGGTGGATTTTTAATTATTTGGATTTGATGATGGTCATCGTTACGTGTTAATGGTATTAACCTACTTTCATACTAATTCCTTACACGCTCAATCTAGTCATGTATCATGAGAATGGTGTAGCATTCGACATGGACTATAACTCCTCTCCCACGGTTTTCATTTAACAAGTTAAGGCCGGTGCATGTTTAGACCGACCATTGGCTTCTCACTTCAATGTTTTTGGCGCACGTCACATTTTTTCCTTTTTTCGGATGGCAAATTTATCATAGATATGTTGCTCCAACACTGGTTAGCTTGCAATTCCTCAAAACCAACATCATCAAAGTTGTCTTACCAATCTTTGTATCCACAGGACGTGTTAGTCGTTATGACATCAACATAGTCATCCAGGACTAAAAAGGTAATATGTAGAATTGTTGATCCGCATGTTGCTTTAGTTTGTCGCTACTCGCTAGTTGCTTGTAAGTTGTGACACTCTCCTCTCTAGTTGGCAATTTAGTTTAACTTTGGCGATATTCTCGAAGGTGACTCATTAATGGTCATTCATTAATTTCCAAAGAGATATTGAGATTTCGGTCATTTCTAAAAATGAAATTAGAAATTGCTAATCTTTGATCAGAAACCCTAAAATCCATTTGCATACTTGGTAGGGCTGTCAATTTGGTTTGGTTTGGTTAACCAAACCATTAAGTATGAAAAACCAAAAACCAAATTCCAAAAACCAAAACCAAAACCATTAAGGCCCTTATTGGTTTTTGGCAACCAAAAACCAATAAGGGCCTTAATGGTTTTGGTTTTGGTTTGGATAACCATAAAACCAACATGTACTCATACACTCATATTTATTCCTATTTCCCTCTTTTTTATTGAATAAACGTCATAATAATGGTAAATGACCATTACAAATTATTGGTTGGCATGCGTGTCAAAAGAAACAAAAAAAAATATTTGTTGATAAATAATTGTATTCTTATTGGTTTCTTAATGGTTTCTATTGGTTTTTTGGTTTTAACCAAACCAAAACCATTAAGTTGCTTATTGGTTTAAAACCAAAAAACTGAAACCATTAGCTTTCCAATTGGTTTGGTTTCGGTTAAAACCAAAAAACCAAAACCAAATGGACAGCCCTAATACTTGGCATCCATACAATTTTCTTCGTCTAACGGTGCAAGATCTCAATTTGTTCACTAGAGAAAAGAATTTAACCTAACCAGTATTTTCTGGCCGCGTCATCCGGCGTTTTTTATTGGTAGGGCGGCAATTTTTCAAGGGAAAAAAAGAGAGAGAGAGAGAGGAGCAAATTCGAGTGTGATTAATTAATTATTAATACGATTATGTTGCTTTTGGCGAGACGTAATTGTTGGGTTTAGGTGAAGCCACTAGCCAAATAAATCCCCCATATGTCTGTTTTCCAATTCCCGGCTTGAGATCAAAGAGTTAAATTAATTTAAATTAGTATTATTAATGGCCGATGACTTTCATTTTTGTTTCACCAAATTGCGTATTTTAGCTTTCATCGGCTCCATAGTCCATAGTCCATAGGACTTATTCTTGTGATAGTGGTAGTCCCGCTAGTTTTTAGCCTGGAGGTCTCAGGAGTCAGGAATGACGCTCAATTCCCCATTCCCCAACTCTTCTAGTAGCATCGGCACCAGTATCACACTCCTTTTAAAAAAAGTTTAAAGTGCTCGCTCAACGTTTAAATTAATAAGAAATGTAATATGCGATATACAAATTCTGAGTTTTACTTTCCAGCCTATCTTTCCGAGTTTTTTTTTAGAAAACCCCATTCTCTATGAATTATCTTAGTTTTGTATGATTCAAGAGGGAAAATGACTGTATACTCATTACGGTAAATTTGGTAGAACGATTTATGTAAGCACGAAAAAATGGCGAGTTTATGTAATTAAACTCCTAGTTCAATTAGTGAAATTTCGTGCAAGTATGTTTTTTTCAAGCTTGGTGGTTAAGCGTACTAAAAAAAACATATCGATCGATACCTCCCTGCGAGTTAAACATGTTGAAAAACACACACGAATCTGTTTTTGAAAGCATGCCGAGAGCCCTCACATTCGTTCATATAAGATTTACTCAAATTCTCCAAAACAAGTAACCTCGTAATTTCAACACAGTCCCCACGATTGTGGCTCTTTTTGACGACAGAGCGCAAATTAGAACGCCCCCGTCCCCACGATTTCCTCTGCTTGAAAAGATTATTATTAGACGAAGGAAACAAGTTTGATGCACACAAGTCAGAAGTTATAGGGTGTGAAACACTATTCATATAGCAGTAATGCAATTAGAAAGGGTAATTAATGCCCACACGAGGCATTGGATTCTCGAATTTGGAATAGTTTTTATAGGAACTGAGATATTTGGGGAAGACCAAATTACTACTTCATGTAATGATGGGGCAATGGGCTTTGTGCTGTGCTGGGCAGAGATATGAGAAGAGGCCACCTGTTGCTCACTCTGCCTCTGCTCTGCAAAATTGTTTGGTGTTTTTTCTCTCTCTCTGGTAGATGCTGATGAAGGCTCTGAACAACATGTAGAGAGAGAGAGAGAGGGAGAGAGACAGCACTGCAGTAGTGAAATTGTTCGGTCAGAATTACCCCTGGATACGTTTTAAGCTGCAAGATTTTGTAACTATGTTCGTCGAACGAGTTTTTTTCGATTCGAACACCGTGTTACTCGCGAGCAGGTTGGCTCATTTGCAGCCCTACCCGGTACTAGTACGTGCAGAAAGGGCGAGATCAGAACGGGTAAATGTTGGTGTTGGGCTGTTGGCTTTGTGTGCAACGTGGGAATTGGAATCCCTAAAATGGTGGGGGAGAAATCAGGCCCCGACTTTTCCTTTGAAGAATACAGCGGATTTGGTCCTCCCCTCCGACGCTCCATGGCTTTGACATATGGGACCGTATGAGGCGCCATTGTCCTCCCCACAAAGAAGGAATCTTCTAACTGGCTCTCCAATGGATTTCCATTATCAAAATTTCACTCCCAATTGAGTTCACAACCGGGTCAAATTTGGGCAATTGAAAGGTAGGTCATGGTTCATAAGAGCTCGGCTTAATTAATTTGTTCCGGGTGGGTGATCACAGAAAAAGTGCAAATTTTACAAACTCATCAATTCGGTCATGAGATTATTACGAATCTAACATAAATAAGATGGTTTCAGATTCTACCAATTGATCGTGTTATAGACAGTCGCTTTTGAGCAAGTCGTGTTCAGATCGAGTTGCTATGGAAGCTAGAAAAAGTTATGTCGCCTATATTTGGACATCTGAATAGATAAATGGTGATTTTCCTTAAACACGGATAAATAAGAGGAATAGTTAATTAGAAATGTTGCGCACTAGTGCTTGGTTTTCATGACAAGTACTTATTTGTGTTCATGTTCTAGCTAGCTAGGTAGGTGGTCCTTGGGCTTGAGTTGTCATGTGCATTATCTTTAAGAGGAAAGGGTTACACGACCCTAAAAAAAAAATTAAAGGGTAAGTTGTCATGTGAAGTGAACTAGTTAAGGGTAAGTGGTCTCCTCTTGATGGCAACCTAACCCAACATATATATGCCTAACAAATTGATAAATTCTCATAATTAAATTGAAAAATGGTGATTAAGATTGAGAGATGGGGTGAGTTGTTATGGTCATAATTGGGAGGGACATGCATTGAGATAGGGAGATGAGGAGGAAATGATGATAGGATATGGTGGTAGGGATCTCCAAGTCCAAGCTAACCAATCATACCTTGGAATACACTTCTTCTTCTTTTGTTTGGAATAAATAAAGTTTTTGCTTTAAGTTAAAGTTATGTTTTGAGTTTTAGAAGATTGGGAGATCCAGCGATTAGTTGAATGAAAGTTTGGGAAATTTTATATTTTGAATTAAAGGTGTAATCATTTCTTCAACATGGAACTATCTAGCTAGCTAGTCAATCTATAACCATATTTTATTAAATGTTTAAACTAGACTAATGACCCCTATAATCTTTTTCTTCTACCCGTGCATCAACAGTTCCACACCATCTTTCTCACCTTTGTTAATTGAAATATGTATAATATGTTGCTCTATGCATTTTTATCAAATATAATCATTTTATTGTTTACATTAAATATGCTTATTTATTTTGAAAAATTATCAAGCATGTCATTCTATTAAAATTTTCATCCGAAAATTGTCAACTAGGATCCATGGACGGAGCCAGGATTTAAAGTGGGAGGGGGGGCCGATTTTTTTTACGATGACATAATAAAAAAATGTGTCCGCAAATTCTTAAAAAACATTCAAAAAATAATCAATTTACCGAATTTTGTTTAAGAATTTATTTCAATGAATATTTAAACTATAAATAATAATATGTACTATAAATAATAATAATATATACTTTTTTATTTTTAGAATGCAAGTCACTGATATATTTATCGTTCATAGTATTCCCTTTCTTGTTATGGAAATGTAGTTAATTTAACAATAGAAAATATAATGAAGAGTTAAATTTTTTACAGTGTGATGATATTTTGGATGTATAATGAAAATTAAGCTTACATATATGTCAAACAAAAAATTAGTGAAGCCAGATTAGTGATTAACAAGTCATTCATAAAAAAAACAGTTGTGTGGGTTCAATTGTTGACCTCACACCGACCATGACTATTTATAATTTATAGAGAACTTATAAATAAAGAATAGGTATGAACAATGCATTCCAAAAAAGAATAAAGGAGTTAGAGTTCGAACTACTAACCTCTCACTCACCAATAACCTTAAGCTAGCATCCTTACCCCATAAAATTCAAATGT